TAGGGTTATCGTTAGGAGCACTCACAGGGAATTCGATTTACAAAGAGGTGCAGTCAAACTGGTTGAACAATAAATGGCTGCCATATACCGTATATATAACCTGATCAACTGACCGCTTGCATTTCTTTTGCAAGTGAGACCTGAGAGCAAATTACGTGTAATGGCCGAAACCATGAAATTAAGATCCAGAATGACCCTTCCAATATTCAAACAGAGAGGTTATATAAGGACACTTTTCCCATCGGTCTGCTGGATTAACATCATCATGCTGTTGACGTTTCTGTTGTTTGACCGCAGCCCAAAGTGATCTGGATGAAGAATAAGATAGCTATCATTGACGACCCACGCTACCGCATGTTTAGCAACCAGGGAGTATGTACTCTGGAGATCAGGAAGCCCAGCCCCTATGATGGCGGTCTGTACACCTGCAAGGCCATCAACGACCTGGGAGAGGCCCAAGTGGACTGCAAACTGGAGGTCAAAGGTCAGTGTGGACCAGGAGGTAAGCTCTGTCTGTATCTGAGTCTGGTTTCCCAAAGCCGGTCTAGTTTTATTCCTTAATTTCTTTAGTAGTGCTTCTCACCATTGTCTTCATCATTGATCTTTGCTTCTTTATCTAAAAGAGATCAAGAAGTGGATTTTAATCAAAATTGTCACTCTGTAATTAGTGTAAAGAAGCAAAGTTGACTTTGGGAAACCAACTCTACAGGGGTACCGTCGTGTTTGAACTGTGTACAGTCTACCAAAGGGCTGACCACATAGGCGGTGGACGTAAGTATCTGACTGAGTTGCACCAGCTGTTCGTAAATCCATTATTACGGTCGTGTGTAAAGTCCCTCTGAAGTTACTGAGTAACTATTGGCTGGTTTCTAGTGTTACTAAATCCGGTTCGCCATTAAAACTGAAGGAATATCGTTACTAGTTGACATTAGGAATAAAAGGGTTGCTAAGAGACAACTGTGGTGCAGGAAGTCATTGTAGCATCATAAGCTGTAACATGAATGCCAAAAATTAACAGCTTTAGGAGGCCAAATTATAACTGCCAATCATTAATAAATGTCAGTTAGACTTTATTTATACGCATGAGGAAATATGTGTGTCAGTTTGTAGCATTCATTTTGTTTAGAAAAGAGAAATAGGCAATTTCTATATTGTTACTTTTAATGCTTATCACTGGGTCGGATTCCCCTTGAAATCAATTAAACGAGGCAGTCGGAAAAAAATACTGCTTTTGTCTACTGGGGCTGCCAGAATAAATATAAATTTAGGCTCTTTGTTGCTCAGTTAGCTAACTGTTACACCAGGAGGTTATTGGGTGTAATTATTTTGTACTAATTTCTATGTAAGACCTAGTTTGTGTGGTGCAACCCATTTTAATTTTGCGGTGGGACACCTGCGTTAAGAAGTCTGAGCTTATGAACAGCTGCTGCAACTGGCTCCTGGACAAGACAATTTTCAAATGACATATTAATTATCTGTTTCATATCATTTGTGTGCAGTGCACATAATATCTGGTGACACTTTCCCCATCACCACCACAAGTAGCGGTTTATCCCCCGTCTCCTCGCACAACTCTATCCAGTCCAGTCCATACGGTCATCTTCATCATCACAACACACCACCTCAGCACACAGTCTGTCACCAGTCACACCTCAGTAGGCATAACATATAGAGCTGTGATGTTTTTGTGTCGTCTTAAACTATTCTCTACAGAAGTGTCTTCTCTATGCCACACAGTTAACTCCTCATATAAAAGAGTTCAGTAATAACTCAACAGTATTCCCTGGTGCACACAATAACTCCATGTAAACATTTTGTTAACCCCTCTTCTCTTCTCTCTCCCCCAGTCCAAACTCAAGAATTGTGAATGTATGTTCTCATAAAAGGTAAGCTTTCATATGGTTTTGGCATATGAAGCTTATGTCATTCATTATGCATCTTTCAGCCAGCTTGTAACCTCGCTTTTCTTAGTCGTTTGGGACTGTAGCAAGATCCAAAGAAAGAACAATGTGAAATTGGGCATTACTGAAAAAAGGTTTGCACGACAACATTCTCCAAATTATTCCCCAGTTCTGTTTCGCTGGCTGAATTTAACAACCCTGTGTTAAGTATTTTAATTGATTGTTGGTATGAAATGGTGTGCATTCAAAGACTACCTCTCATGTATTTTGTGCCACAGATAAGGTGAGTAAAACGTTTTGCAAACTTGCTAAGCATCTGTGGAGTTTTATGCTGTGTTGACATGATGTCGAAGCCTTTTGCTGCTGGTAAATAAAATCATACAGGGTCCAAACAAAGCCTACTAACACCAGGTATTTTCTGTGTTCTGTTTGAGCGATAAGGTGTGTATGCACAGTAGGCTAATATCCCTTAGCTCACAGTGGCATTTTGGTTAGTGCTCTTGCAGAGAGTTCATATGTGTCCATTAAATATGAAGCTACAGCCAGTGGCCAGTTAGCTTAGCTTAGCACATAGACTGGAAACAGGGGGAAACCGGTAGCCTGACTGTGTCCAAAGGTAACAAAACCCACCTACCAACACTTCTAAAAGTCAGACAAAAAACAAAATAAACATAAAACACTGTGGTTTTATGGGTAGTTATATGCCAGACTATTTCTTGACAGGATGTAGTAACTTCACCTGTTTGCCAGGCAACAATAGGAAAATCCTGGAAGTTTCAATAGAAAAGCAAATAAGCGTATCACATCAAAATATGAATTTAGTTTTTAGTAATTAGTTTTTTTTGGCAGCTTCATACTTATACTCTAGTACATTACGGTGGGAGATGGCTCTTATTTTTGTGTTGTCAGTAGTAATTATTCTGCAGATTAAGATTTTATACACAAAACTTATCTAAATTATGATTTATTAGAGTCTAAAGTGCCCAATAATAAGTTTAACACTTACTTAAAGTACATTTTGCTAATAATACTCTTATAGTTTTACTTAAATGCATGACTCTTTGTGTTTACCACAGTATTTATACATTTACCTTAATAAAGGATACTTCTTCCAACACTGTTAACATATTATGGATGACTAGAGACAGTGTATGGTTGGACCTGCATTTTATTTCAGTGGCATCAGCTATGCATCTAAGTACTGCAAGCCTGAGCAGATGCCAGTTTACAAACTGAGTGTGGATTGCGTACATGAGCTGTTCTACCTTCCTCCTCTCACTCTCCTTATCCAGTGAACTCCCAGCTTCTCTCCTTCGCATTCTGTTTGCTTGATTCCTCTCTGTTGTTCACTTTCCACGTCTGCATCTGTCCATCCCAACCATATTATAAGAGAGTTTTTCCTCTTGTCCCTCAGGAGGCTTCACCTTCTACGAACTCATGCAACGTGGAGTGCCCCTACACCTGATTGACCAGTACATGAACGAGACGAAGATTGTTGAGCAAGAGAAGTAAAATTGGACAGCGTGCAATGAGACACTTTAGCTTTGCAGACATCTGCAGCCACTAGTGATCCTCTTCTCTCACCTACTGAGGTCAGCGGCCTGAGGGCGGAGGGAGGGATGATGGAGGGATGGCGAGACAGGTGGAGGAGATGCAGGGGGGAGGGTGTACTGGTCGGTGGTGTGGCATGCTGTGTGCAGGTTTGGAGCTAGTTGCCATAGAAAAAAATAAAAAATAAGCCAGTTCACTTCTTTGTCACCCTCTTGTGTTTGAAAGACTGTGTCAGCTCAGATGCATGTCGGCAGTGTTTTGGTTCTAGCTTTGATGAATACATGTAGTGTGTTAACAAACAAACAAACAAAAAAAAAAACATATACAAAGCACATATATAGCACAGTGACGCACACCTACAGTATTTACACGTTGTTTCTTGTTGGGAGTGCCTGTTCAAGGCGATAATTTATTTCTGGGGTCTTGAGAGAAGGGAAAAGGGAATGTATAAACAAAGGCTTGGTGTTTTATGGTGTGTAAGAACTTCTAAATGGCAAGAAAAGTGACAGTAGACCCGAGTAATGTTGGATAATTGAATGCGTAGACCCGCACGAATGTTTGTTCAATTCACTTTTTCTCTGTACGTTATGTTTTTGTCTAATAAGTGAGACAATGTAGAGGTTTACACACACAGTCCATATTCTGCATGACACATAATGATTTTGGGATTCATATTGGACTTGAGGCTTGATTGATGCTCAGTCATGTGTGCATGCATTTACCTTTGTAATTATGCCCCATGGATTACAATAAAAAAGTAAAATGTGAAAAATGTTACTGTATTTTCTTGAGTTGAGGACTGTTTTTGTTTGGATCTGTTATAAAACTAAGATTAATTGTGAGACTCATGGATGTATTATGGTGTAAAAGGGGAACCAAAACATAAACATGTGAGAATTTGCATGCAATTTTATACAAACTAGTCCTTAAATATGTATCTTTATCATTTAAAGACTTAGGCTCAACACCCAACCATGTCCTAAGCTACTGTATTGGACTGACGCACACACTTATATACTTAAATTAGTCGGCCTCTATATTTACATGATATAATTATTTATAAATAAATACATAAATTAAAGATTAAGTATTTCTCCACCAGAATTTGTGGAAGCCCATTAAAAATAAAAAGCACATTTCTATTTAAATAAAAATAAATAATATTAATAATGGGAATATTTTCAGAATATTAAGCTTTCTTGTCGTACTTAAACGCCCCAAGCCAATTTAACTTTTGTTTGGGGAAGTCTTAGAAACATAATTTGTACTTAAATAAACATTTAACTCAATAAAATTAAGTAAGTTAGTTATTATATAACTTATAATATAATAGTTATAATATTTAAAAAATTTGTTATTATTATTATTACTTAAATGAATGACATTTAAACGTATATCTATAATATCTATATATATATAAATAAATATATAACTTTTTTTTTTATTTAATATAAATTTCATACAGTAAGTTTAAACTTCCCGGTACGCTGCAATATCCTTCCCTTCCGGTCCGTCGCTTCCGGAGACGCAACTCGATCAGAAACGTACAGACTATCGACATCTCATGGTTCCGCTGTGGAAATGGCCTCGTCTTGTCACCCAGCTATAAATGCCAAATGAGCTGCTATCTTTCGGAGTCGGCCGAGAGAAGATAGCCCCCGCTTGAGCCACTCAACCCAAAGGCCGGGGGCGGGGGGGTGGGTAGAAAGAATTACCGGGACGTTTGTTACCGTAATTTTGAGGAGTGACTAGGCAGAAAAGCGATGCCACATTTCCCGTGGCCAGAGCCGCTGTCACCCGCTCAACTCAAGCGGTTGGAGGAGCACAAATACAGCGCCTCCGGTCGATCCCTGTTCGAGCCGCCGTGTCAGGTCTACTGGAACTGGCTCATCCAGCAAATACCGACATGGGTCGCGCCAAACACTCTGACTATTGTTGGACTGCTGGTCAATATCCTCTCCACGGTGGTGCTTGTGTATTATTGTCCCACGGCAACAGAGGAGGTGAGTACAACAACAACAACAACAACAACAACAACATAAAATAAGAAGCGTAACCTTGGCTAAAGTTTCTACACGGAGACTAGCCCCAATTACGTGCTCCCCCCCCCCCTCTCCTCCTTCTCTGGTGCGGGAAGGTAACGCGAAACCTCCATTCAGAAATCGTCTGGGTTAAACTTAAGTTGCCACCTGTGCAGACTTAACATGCTTCAAAAGCTGTGATTTAAGGTGAGGTGAATCAGTGGGGTCGGTTTGTTAATTCGGCATACATTTGTGCCACACAGCTACTTGTATTTTAATAACAGTTTGGCTTATTAATGGGGTCACACTGCCCGCTAACGCCCACGGCGGTCTGTTTTGGCAGAGCCCGAATCACCCTGGAAAGTTAACGATTTACTGAATTATACACCACTTTATGTAAGACAATGTGTGCCGAATTGGAGACAGTCTCCGGGTGATTCTGGGAAGATCTTAAAACACAATGTGTTACGTTTACATGGCCACATACAAGCGAGGACGCTTTAAATAGTCATTTTTTTTATGTCGGATTAGGGTGTCTCTCTCCTGCGGGATAACTGGAATAGACGAGTCTTCACGTACGCCCTTGGAAAGTTTACAGCTTTGACGTGTTGTTTTCTACCCAGACTCACGTGATTCGGTGTTGTTGATGGCAAAACACTGACATATTAAGGGAAATATTGTTGCTCTTGTTCAGTATACCATTAAAGAGGGCGTAAATGCTATTGAATTAATATAATTAGCAATTAGTTACAAAAACAAATTTGACCAAGATTGTGTGAAATGGCTGCAGATCCAACTCTAATGTGACTTTACATTCCCAAGACCTCTACTTCAGTTGCAATAATGAGCCTTGCACTGAACCGTTGACCCATGATCCACTTAACTTGGATCACCAGGTTCACTGTGGAGTTGTGACTCAGGCAGGAAATGCATGTGTGTGTGTGTGTGTGTGTGTGTGTGTGTGTGTGTGTGTGTGGTTATCTGATTTGCACTGATAAAAACACTTCCAACTATGAGTCCACAGTCCATGCAGCACGCCGGTACTGTCAAATTCCACAAGTGCAAATGCATTTCAGTCCCCCCCCCCTCACCCCATTAATAATTTAGTAGTGAGGCAAACCTGGCTCCTTCTTCTTCATGAACTGTGAAGGTATGAAAGTCCCATGTCTGTGCAAACAAACACATATCAGAGGAATTCAATGGGAACAGTGCAGAGCAGAGTTCTCCCTAAAGTGACCTTTGCACTCTGTGATGACTCTTAAACAAGCGGCCTCTTTCCCCACCCGTGCATGGTGCGTTTAGGACTTTGAAGAAAAACCGCTCGGTCTGAATATTTAGGACGGCATGGATTCTTGAGCTCGCTGAAAACACAAGACAATCTTTGTGTCCCCCTCTCTCTCTCTCTCTCTCTCTCTCTCTCTCTCTCTCTCACTCACTCACTCACACACACACACACACACACACACACACACACATTGTAGTCATAAACACACTGTGTTGGCTGGCTGTTGTGTCCAGATGGTCTATAACCTCCAACCTAGAAAGAGGAACTGGACCACTCCAGTCAGCTGGAATCTGTCCTTCAACTTACAGTACAGTACGTACACAGATACATACGGCGTGTGAGGATTGTGAGAGACTAAAATACACTTTACAGTTACAACAGAAATACAAACATTGTTATCTTTTGAACTACTTTTACCCCCCTGAAGTAGGCCCACCAACCCCTATACGTCCGTATGTAAAGAGATCAATAATACAAGCAATAATAAGAAGCAGTAAAATACTGATAAACAAGTTGTGGCACAGTGGGTGTACATGTTGAGCCTGTTCATAATCACTATTTAATGTTAATACGGTCCAAGAATGGGCTTCATGTTTTAAAGAATAGGGGTACCCGGAACAGATCTTTTTTACTTTAGTCCATGTTCCAGATTTGAAGAGGTTTCTAGGTTTTACTTAGTCAGTTTAATCCAATACTCCATATTCAATATATATTAAAACTTAAAATGACCAATCAGTTATCAAAATCGTCGTCCCAATTGCGTGTTGCTTCAGCAAAGTACAAGTTTGTGGTCTTTCTTGTGAGCAGGGATCCCTAAATAAAGTCTCTCCTCAACCTCCACAGGCTCCATCATGGGCCTTCATCATGAGCGCTCTGGGCCTGTTCATCTACCAGTCTCTAGACGCCATTGATGGGAAGCAGGCCAGGAGGACAAACACCAGCTCACCGCTGGGGGAGCTCTTCGACCACGGCTGCGATGCCGTCTCCACAGGTACTTTACCGCTCACAGGAGCACTTAACCCAAACTGTTACACTAGTCCATTAGTCTTTTTATCTAATCTTTTCTATCGTTCTTCCTTCAGTCTTTGTTGCTGTGGGAACGTGCATTTCATGTGGAATAGGAAGATACTCGAACTGGATGTTCTTCTGTGGTTTCATTGGGATGTTCATGTTCTTCTGCGCCCACTGGCAGACCTACGTGTCCGGGACCCTCCGCTTTGGCCTGTGAGTTCAGTAGCGTTCAGTCTTTCCAGTAATGATACGGAAGCTGTTATGCTCTTGTGTAACAGTCAACCCTTTTATATTGTCACTTAAATGAAGGATAATCTCTCCCTTGTTGCTTTCTTCACAGGATTGACGTGACAGAGGTGCAGGTCGCCATCACGATCATGTATTTGATGACGGCATTCGGAGGCGTGAGCCTTTGGCAAACCACGGTAACCGAGACTCGTGTATTTTGTACGGATGCACAAGTACTGTACACACACAGGAACACTTTCATTTCACCTTAAGTGTATAGTCCACTAGTTTTTACACTACATTTATTATCTCATCAGTTCCTAGCTCGTAGTCGTCCTTCTAGTTTTTTAAATAGAATTTGTGTTTTACTTTTACTCCGTGCTGCCTTTGGAGGCTTGACTTAACATCACATGAGAGAAGTGAGAAGGTAAATATGAGTAGCTAACGCCATGGCAACAGGTCATCTATTGGACATGATCTGGCTCAAAAAAGCTGATGATGTCACCCGCATTTTTTTTTTGCTTTGCCCTCCCATCACGCTCGGCATGCCTGCAGCTTACATATAAGCCACCTTTCTTCTTACTATAAGGAGAATGCTTTGTGTCTCCGCACTGATTCGACTGTCACTTGTTTCCGTAGTTGCCCATCATAGGAATGCAGCTGTACGTCTTCCCCATCATTGGCATCATCGGAGGGGCCCTCTACTCCTGCTACAACTACTTCCATGTCATTTTGAATGGAGGTGTTGGCAAAAACGGCTCTACTGTGGCGGTAAGTTCACTTGCAAAGTCTAGAGGTAGAGACGAGTTGCCTGAACTTATATAGCCGATAACACGTTGCGTTAAATGCTCAATAACCTTCCTTCTGTGTAGGACACCAGTGTGCTGAGTCCTGGTTTGCACATCGGCCTCATCCTCACCCTGGCCTTCATCATTTTCAAGAAGTCGTCCAGCCACTTGTTTGAGCACCACCCCTGCCTGTACCTGCTCGCCTTCGGCATGGTCATCTCCAAGATCTCCAACAAGCTGGTGGTAAGTTCATCTTGTCGCGTAGTTGTAACCCTTTACATTTCGGTCCTGGTTGATAATGGCAACACCTGTGGTTACTGTGGAAACAGCAAGTGTGGTTTAATGCAATTATTATTTTTTTAGAAATACAACAGAAGAGCATGTGTATCTGTACATAGAACTTATGTTGTTTTTAATATTTTATTTTGTAGACACATTTTTGCGTTCCCCCCCTTAACCCTGCAACTGCTTCACAATAAAAGCCACTTTTAGTGTGAAACAGTTGCAGTAGAAAACAAGCAAGTAACTTAATTTAGCTGAGTGAACAGTGAGTGTTAGGAATGAGATTAAATTTAAAGCCTTACATGCTGCATCGTTTCCTGTGAGTGTGTGTGTGTGTGTGTGTGTGTGTGTGTGTGTGTGTGTGTGTGTGTGTGTGTCCGTGTGTGTGTGTGTGTGTGTGTGTGTGTGTGTGTGTGTGTGTGTGTGTGTGTGTGTGTGTGTGTTGTGTAGGGGTGGTGGACTCTGCCACTAGTAATGAAATAACTATATACAGAGGTTATTACAGAATGTAAATACATAGATCATACACACAAATACATTCTGACCATAAACAGACCCTAAATGAATTGCCATAACTCTAATTAACTTATATTTAACAATATCTTTATTACATTATGCTCCTGTTGTTGCTGTATGTGAACCATTTTTTCAGCTTGTTTCTCATCTTTCCTCTGTTTCAATTAAATCCAGTAATTCAGCACAGAATGTATTTAATCAGTGTTTCCTTTTCCCTCACGTGTATCCCCGTGTCTCTGTAGGTAGCACACATGACAAAGAGTGAGCTGCACCTCCCAGACACAGCCTTTGTAGGCCCTGGCCTCCTCTTCCTTAACCAATACTTCAACAGCTTCATTGACGAGCACATAGTCCTCTGGATCGCCATGGTAAGTGCCATACACATTTATATTAGTATTAACGATTCTTGACTACTAATCACCACTCAACAAGTACAGCACAAACACCTAATTCAGCTACTGTTTATCTATTATAGCATATGGCCTCTATTTGATTATTGATATGTTGCCGAGAAAAGTATTGTTCAACCAGAGAAACAAGTATTTATTCAACTTAATTAACTTAATTAAACAAGGTGTGGATGTGTGTGGTAAGAACTTGCAGGGCAGGTGAGCCTTAATGACTACGAACAAGAAAAACCTCTAAGTCTATATACTGGTTTTCAGTCCTGTCTGTGGGACTCTGAGCTCTGCTGGGTTTCACTTTATCCATCTAATCTGGGACTCGTTACACCTGTCGTTCAAGGTTCAGTTCCTCCAATGAGATGACTTGTGGTAAACCCTCCTTGACACGTGTCATCTTGCTTCTCACCAACATTACTTCTCAGCTTTGATATGAAAGGATGAACATTGGTTGTGCTGCTACAGTAAAACTATTACAACTCTGTACTTATAGCAACCTCAACCATAAATTCCACTCTGAGAGAGAAAGTGTTGCATTACATTTTAACAAGATAACCAAAATCAAGTAAGTGTAAGTGTTTTAACTGAGGATATGAGGTTTTGTTGCAGCCCCTTATACCCACACAGGTGTTTTTCAGGTCATCCTGGGTGGTTAGACCTCTGCTTATGTTATAGTTGGCAGTTAGGTGAAGTCAGTAAACTCAATCAATCATTGTGTCAATGATAAAGGTGTAAGTTGAGGGAGTGGCCCAGAAAGTCCTAATGGAATATTGCCAATTATTAATTTTAGTATTTACACCTGAGCATTACTCTTAAAGTCCAAAAGGCCATTCACAGCCAGGCAGTTGTTCTCCGTTGTCCTGGCGGATTAGACATCTGTTGAGTTTAAAGTTGAGTGGAGATGTGTTGGGTATTATTCGAGGTCACTGGCTTTGCTTACTGGGAAACTGAAATGGAACAGAGCCCTCATTAATGTCATTTGTTATCAGTTAAAGCTTTTCCCAAGTCAAACTGTCAAAATGAAATGTAAATGAAGTCTGGTTTATACACAACACAGCTCTAATCAGGGAGAGGAAGTGAAAACCCCTGTGTGGGTGGACCATGGATGTGTAGGGCCCAAATGACATGTATCTATAACATTACATGAAATATGGCTTCATAATAATAACAAGGATGATGATTATCTTTTTGTATAGCGCCTTTCAAAGCAAAGTGCTAAGTGCTAAGTCTGGACAAATGGTTCTGAATACATCATGTTATGTTGTTCTATTAGCTCCAAACCTGCTGTACTCAGTTTACATAGATTTTATTGATGTTGTTTGTAATCGATGCTCCTTTCCACATTCATGAATTAAATATCACCTTTAATGCAGTTGTAGTATAGCACATGTTGATGCTTGAACCTCTCTATCTTTCTTCAGGTCTTCTCTCTTCTGGATCTCACGCGCTACTGTACGGGCGTGTGCCTCCAGATCGCCTCTCACCTGCGCATCCAAGTCTTCAGCATCACTCCACCGAGCCACGGCCACCGCGACTGACGGCTTGCCCGGCGGGAGGAGGCGGGGGGAGACGCGGATCTCTCCCCGCTACTGAAAGCAGACGACCACGATGGCGAGGAGATGTCCTTGACCCCGAGCCACTGCAGCCTTGACAAAGTCACCACTTCTGAATAAAACTGCCTCTCCCCCAACAGAAGGAAGAAAATAAAAACAACTCAACACTACAAACCAAAAAAAAAAAAAAAAAAAAAAGAAAAAAAGGTTTTGAAAAGCATGGATCTATTGAATGAACAAATTACATGGGACCAGAGTTTCCCTTAAATTACTCATTGGTTGTTGTAGCCAATAAGTTTTAATTTAAACATCAGTGCATGTCAGAAAAATAAAGTTTAGATTTTCACATCAGAAGTGCACTCTTAACACTTCCTGTTTATTCAACTCAAATACCAAAATATTTTCTTTAACAGGTATTTTATTGCTTGGGCAGATATCAGTGCATTTTTATCTGCTTTAAATTTACAGACGTGTGGGATTGTCACATATTTAAGACTCATAAATATACGACAATCTTAACTCAATAAGGTAAAGCTCTTTGATATATGCCCAAACTAAAACCTGTTGAAAGTTTTCTTAATAATTTGTTTTTATTTATTCAATGAATGTGACTCCATGGAACATAAATCAGGGTTTGAAAATACAGATTAAAATTTTTAAATGACCTTTAAAACCTCATAATTTCCAATGAAGTTTGCAATGTGGACTGGCAGGTTGTCAACGAGCTACGTGGAAGGGTGACGGTCTGTGTGTTAGTGCTGAAAACGACGACAGGTTTTCTATAAGGCTTTCTCTTACAAACATCTTTCTATTAATATTTTTATTCCCTGTTACTCATCTCATCCTACAGTCCTGGAAAATAAAATAAAAAAAACCACACCTCACCTCCGGCCTGTAGAGCGCCGTCGACTGATGAAGCACCAACGCACGACTTCTGCTTTCTCTGTTCTTCTCCCTGAAGGGCTAATAATTATTTGTGATTGTACAGATTTCAACTGAAGACGCCTTAAATATTTTTGTTGTAATTACTGTTTAACTTGTGAATATTTAAAACGGCTTTGTACGTTGTTTCATCCCAGATGCAACAATAGTAATAATACAACTCTACTGGAGGGTGTTTATTTCTTTTTTTTAACTGTTTGCTCATGATATTTCTTTACTTATACAAATGTATATTATGTATAGGTGAGTGATTCATTTGGATCTTCAAGATTTGTTGGATTATCACTAATTTTATAATGATGGATTATCACTGAATAGTTGAAATCTAACTGAATCATTATTCAGGTTCATTGGGATCAAAAGGGATATTTCTGTAGTGCCGGTGAACTATTTAAGGGTTTAAAAAAAAAAAAAAAGAGAAAAATAAAATGATCTTCCTCTCTGATTCTGCTTCTGCAGGATTACGGACGTTGTAGAGGGGCATGTCCTAAAAAGTTGGGTTTGCATAATTTACAATGGACTTTGGAACTATGCATTAAAATGTACAGCCTTGATTTCAACACCGTGTTGCACTGTTCAATAATACAGTAAAACACCTTTCTACTAACAAATATGAGTGGAAAAGATTGTAATAAAGAAAATATTTTTCATGTGATTTGTTGTCAGTGATGAAAGAAGTACTCAGAGACTTTACTTAAGCAAAAGCCACAGTGTTAAAATACTCTCATTACAAGTAAAAACCACACAGCAGTAAGTAAATTGGCCCGTGTAACAGATATTGTGATATTATTGGATTGTTAATACTAATGAATTAATGTTGAAGAACCATTTTGCTGTAGCTTGTTTTAACATATGTATATACAGTTTAGTCCAGTGGCAGTCAGGCCTCCTCCAGAGGGTCACAAGATAAGATATAGTTGTGCTATACACATGGTAAACATACTGGTTTAACATAATGTTAGCATGGCTATAAAGTCTTATTTTTGTAAAATATTGGATAATTTAACCAATTTTTTTATTTTAATAAAACTTTAAGAGTTTAGAAAACTTTCACTTTGGTGGAACAATTTATCTAAAACAAATCAAGGGGTCCGACTAGACTAAACTTGTTTTTTCTGTACAGTGTTAATCTAAAAAGTAATTATAGTTCACACACACATTATATATATATATATATATATATAGATAGTGGAGTGAAAAGAACGACATTTGTAATATTTGAAATGTAGTGCAGTGGAAGTACGAAGTAACACAAAATAGAAATACTCAAGTAAATGCACTAAGCTATATTCACATGATAAATGACAAAAAACTCCAAGGTGACTGAACCAAACACATTTTATTTCAGTCAAAAGGAGCCACTGAACTGATGCAATCTGAGGAATTCCATTCAGGATATGTTACTCATCATCTCGCCTGCTGACATCAACTTTTACGTCACATGACTTTATGGCAGTGGCAAAACGCTGACAGCATCTAGTAGTCACTTCCGTTTTTTTTGTCATTATAATAAAGAACTTTGTAAAACTGACATTCAGAGGAAAAAAGTTGGAAACAGTTGATGAGCGATGCTTTACACTCTGCGGGCATTCAGATCAGATGCATCTGTCACGGGGCTCACGGTCACAATAATACAATCAAAATAAGTTACAGAACATGCTGAGGGGGTCTGAATTTCAGACAGTAGCGAGCCTGTTGAGTCCCACAGGGACACACATACAGGTGGCTATGAAAGCTGTAGTATCACTTACATGTACCTCCAACAATCAGACACATTTGTACCACATTAAGAATGATAATCATATTATCCTATATCCCATTCATTCTCATTGTAAATCACTAGATTTGGACGTGATGTGGCAAACATTTATAACAAGACATTTAAAAAAAAAAAACCCAACAGGAGATAAACAAAAATGTTCAAACAAGCAGGAATGAACAACGAAGGCACTTCAAGTTTTTATGTTTTTAAAGACAACCGACAAAGATATAACCGCCAACACGTAAATCCATCCTATATGTACTGTTGTCCTCCATTTCTTTAAAATTGAGCCATAACAGTAAAGGTCAAACACAACCAGGGCTGCAAGTACCGTTTTTTTTTTTTTTTTTTTTTTAAACAAGCAATTACGGACTATTTTTTCAATTAGTCAATTAATTGTTTTGTGTATAAAATGCCCATCATAATTTCCCAGCACCCAAGGTGACATCTTCGAATGTTTTTTGTTGGACAAACAGTCCGAAACCCAAACATATTACACTGATAGAAGATATAAAACAGAGAAAAAGCAGAAAATACATTTAAGAAGCTGTTACCAGCAAATGTTGGGTATTTTCCCTTAAAAAGTGACTCAAAAGTGTTTGATTGTTTTCTGTCAATCAACTTATGGATTCATCTGCTAATCATTCGAGCTTTAAACACAGATGTTTGTGGATTTTATGGTAAAAAAATGCTTGCTGCGCACACACACACACACACACACACACACACACACACACACACACACACACACACACACACACACACACACACACACACACACACACACACACACACACACACACACACACACACACACACACACACACAATGAGTGCTGACCTGCTGCTATCAAATGCTTCACACTTTTAACAGCACATCAATCAATGGCACGGTGAGGGCAGGACATGAGGTGGTACAGCGTGTAGGGAGTGTTTGTGTATTTGTAAGTGTAAGTCTCAGCGGAGGAAAAGAAGATTTACAGGCTTCTTCTTTCTGGCTGCCATTCCTTTCACCGGCCAGCCCCATCCATCATCTTCTTAAAAATGTTTCATCGCCATCTCGTATGAGTCTCTGCACACCTCGTCCGCGGTGATGCAACACAAGCACAGGAGGGCCTCAGATTCTTGTTTCCACCCAATCCCCCTGTCTGAATCCTCTCCTGTCTGCTCCACTGAGCAGGAGAGAAAGGGTGGACGTTCAAGTGAAGATAGGGGAGTCTTCCTCTGTCACACCCTCTCGGGGTTGCTGTCCCTGTTCACTCTGCGTCGGGGGAACAGCTTCCGCTTTAGCAGAATCAGCTGCAGGGAGAGGGAAGAGAGGAAATGGCATAAATACAAACTGCATGCAGCTAAGGAAAGTTAATTTTAAAAACTGTCAGCTAGAGGTTTACGCTTCAAAATACATTTAGCTTATTTGCTTTTATTCTGCATTTTTTAGACTTCCATTTTTGTCCAAATGAATGAGATATAAGGAGTTAATTAGTGAGCTTTAGAGGTGCTGGTGATTTTGTTTTACCTTCGGAGAGAGCCAGGCCAGCAGTTTCCCTGTGTTTCCAGTTTTTGTGCTAAGCGAACCAACTGCTGACTAACATTAGCTTCACATTAATGGAGACAGATAAGAGTGGTGTCGATGTTGTCATCTGTATGAACTCTGAAGCAAAAAGCAAATTGGCATACTTCCCGAAATGGTGACCTGTTCCTTTCAGATAATCAACACTCACTCAGAAGGACTTTGACACCAATTCCCCCCTTCAGACATTTTGTAACCCAAGAACACAAAGATAATCTTAAGAGTAGGGCAGCAGTGTGAAATCACCTCCCACTGGATCGAAGACACTTTTGATCTCTCTAAACTGTACAAAGCTGACTCAAATTTCTCTATCTTAATAACCTGGGCAGCAGGACAGCTTGGCTCTTCAGGTGCCAGAAAAACATCAAAAGCCTGTTTGTGTGCGGTGACAGAGACACAGCACAAGTCTGACACATTCCTAACTGGGAACACTGGTCCCACGGGTCGCTGTGGGGGAAATTCTCCTAAGGTCAATGCAACTATTAACCTTTCTTTAGGTTCGCTGAGGAGAAACTTGAAACCTCTGGATTAGGGAAGTGCCTCACCAACATCTCAATGCCAAACCTGGGTCGAGTAGTATTTGTTTAAACAATTCCTGGCATTTGTTTTAATCCCTGCCCGATACCAAATTGGAAGAATTAGACAGGAAAGTTGTCCAAGAACACGGTCATGATTTTGTAATTCTTTGCTATCATGTTCTTGGATGTTCTTTCAGCTAGAAATCCCACCTATCTGGCAACAAAGAAGGCTAAAATAAATACAAACACTGTATGATCCAAGTCAACAAAGACAGACAACCTTGCATTTCACAGAGGACTGCTGAGGGTCTTTCATTTCTGTAAAGTCAGGCCCCGGCTCAGCTGGTCATATGAGCACGACACATGAGAAGCATACACCTCCGAGTGGAATTTCAGTAGCGAAGGCCCAAATCATAGCTCAAGTGTGAATCATGGAAACGGAGAGAGGTGTGTTACCAAATGTCCTGTGTATCTTTGACTGAATGTCTAAATAAACTGTGTGTGGTCCGAGGTGGACACCACTGACCTGTTCAGCGAAGAAGGACATGATGGTGAAGATGACGAGCGTCACGAGGACACAGTGCGTCCAGAACTTCAGCTTGTCTCGATACACTCGCCTTTGGAGAGAAAAGACATTTCAGGTAGTTTTAAATAAAGAACTTATCCTTAATCACCCAGTCCTACACCAGGAGGCACAGAAATAAAATGTTTCCTGATTGGGAGACAGAAATGTCGGAGGTGGCACGTCTCACTAGAGGGGAGGCTAGTTGTGCTCTGATGTAACAAGTAGGAAACATGCAGTATGCAGAGGGCAGCGGGGCAACAGGGTGACAAGGTGACATCACCCCACGCCATCTGCCTATTACTTTACCAACTCAAAGACAGGAGAGGTGGAGAGGGAGGGGTGAAGACGGGAGGCTCAGCTGTGTCATGATCTTGCAAGTATCTTACAGCTAGCGACTGATCGGTAGCGGCTTGGTCTAATTTTAAAGGCTAGCATTCTCCAGCTGAATACAGGAGCGGGATCCCTGACAAAAACCCTCTGAAGCCCCTGAGGGATTCCCACTGTTCCAACCTGGCAACACTCGGGCCCATGTGAGGACAGCCACAGATTCCTAACTTAAGCCGTTTGTGGAAAAAAGAGCTTGATAAATTACTGGCTCACGTGCGACAAGGACGCTGGTACAGTGCTGGAGCTGTATGTGTGGTTTTTTTTTCAACCATTAATTAAGAAAAGGAATGATTATTACATCATTAAAAATAAATGGTCAACAACTGTAATAATCTACATATTGTTCGAGTCTAGTCAAGTCAAGTTCTCTGTTTTATATCATTGCAAACTGACTGGCTTTGACAAGCCGTAGCTATATAATCAACGGATCAAAAACGTCTCTAAAGTTAATATCCTACCATTCCTGGAGCTCTTCCATATGCAGGAACCTGTTGCGATACTCTCTGGGCAGTTCAAACTGGGACGGCAACGGGAACATGGACTCATAGAAGTCTCTCAGCACAGCTTTCACTGTGGCGGCGTCCTTATGGCTGTGGTCGATGTTATCATTCAGACAGATGAACTTCCTGTTGGGGATAAGTGAAAATGGAGATGTTATTATAGTTTAACAACCAGTATGGTAAAGGGGTAAACTTTGGTTGCACCACATAAAAAGGGAAAATGAATGAAAGAGAAAGGAAAAGTGATCTATACAAAGTCATCCCCACCTGGGATTCTTCCTAATGTCATCTAACTGGCCGACCACATGGGACACATTTGTCCGCACCATCTTGAAGGCTATCTCCTCCTCCCCCATGATCTCAAACCTGTCCAAAAGAGCATATGTTAGCAGCAACAGCTGAGCTAAACAAGGAGAATATTTGAATTTTAATACACTGTCAGAAAAACTAACAGCACATAAGATCCTACTTGTACTTATTCTGGTCTCTGAAGGCTTTGTGGATGCGTTCTGTGATGGGCTTGCAATGGAGGATGAGGCCTTTGGTGACAGGAGGCTGTGGGTTAAGAACAAGAACGGACATCAAATAATTCAGCTTATAAAACTAAAGTAAAAAAACATGTCATATTAAAAAAAGATTAAAATGTTTTCAAATAAAACAAGCTATACTCAAGTAGGGCTCACCATGCTGGGGTCATAGTAGGCCTCCTGCGTTGGGTTCACCAGGTGGAGCTGGGTCAGGTTAGTCGGGAGAGTCTTAGAGCAGTTTATCAACATCTGCTCCAGGCCTGTGAGGTCCTAGAAAATGCAACAAAGAAATATTACACACCAGTGCTTCTCAAAGCCTTATGTGAGGTAGAGAAGACATATCAAAGCCAGGACCAACCTGGAGGCTGAGTGGCAGCTCGTGGATCCTTGTGGCAAGAGTTCGAATCTCCCGGTCGGACAGGACGCCAGAATGGTCGGTGTCGATCTCGTCGAACACCTCAGACACGTTGAGCTGCTGCTGAGCGCTCATCAGGAAGTAGAAGTACGAAAAGGCGAACTGCATGTCCTCCGAGTGACGAACGCGATGGGCTGACGTCTTGTCAAACTCCTCTGGGAATCTGAAGAAAAGAGCGCGGAGAAGTTGAAGGTGTTGCCTCTTCATTAACTCGTAAAAATCGTAACAAACAATCTTCATCACACTCACGTGTCCTGCAGCTCCTGCATGATGAAGCGGTCGATCATGTGAGGCATGTGTGCGGGGACTTTGCGGGACGTGAATCCGAACTGGCCGTTGAGCAGCTTGTTGACATAGCGCAGCGAGTCAGCAAAAGTGTCCTGCAGCCTTCGGCGGGTGGTGCCACCATCAGTCGCATACAACAATTCTCTCTGCAGACGCTCCCCTTCCTGTAAGAGTCATCAGAATTTATTAAAATAAATCAAAAAGCTTGACTAGAAAGGTTGAAGTTGTACGCCCTACTTACCTCAAGCAGTTCCTGGAAGTATTTCCTCCTCTCCCACGGCAGGAAGCCTCTGTCTGAGGAGACGAAGTGTTGGAGTCTCCTCCCCACTAGAGCTCCTTCTGCAGCGTCGGCTGGCTCTGCCCGACTCTCTGCGCTCTTGGCTTTGGAAATGCTGCTTAGCAGCTTGGAAGTCATTGGCCTCTCGATTGCAGCTTTTAGATTATGTTTGGGAATCTCAAAGTCTTTTTTATGCTTATCATCAATTTGGACTGGGATAAGAGGAGTGACAATTCTTTCCTGCACAACTACGTCTTTCCTGGACATTTCTTTTGAGCTTTGATTTTTCTGAATGGCTACGGCTTTCTCTTGCACGTGCTCTACCTCAAAGTCTTTATAGGGCTTTCCCTGGACCTTGGCTGCACCCTCATTAGCTGGATGTGAATCGATGACCTGCTGCTTTTGAGCCAGTGTCTTGTAAGGTTGTAGAAGTTCAGCCTTTGTGAGGTTATAACCCTTTATAGTAATGTCACCAATCAGAAGCTTCTCATCCAGCTTTTGCAGCTCACTGCGCACAACAGCTGGTAGAAGTGACACATTTAGTGCAGGAACTTCTATGACAACCTCAGGTTCACCAGGCTGCCTCTTCTGGATCTTAGGACCCTGTTTGTGCTCAGGAACATCTGAGAACGGAAACGGTGGCTCTGGAGTCGGAGTCGGCTTTGGCTCTTTGCCGACGTCTTTGCTTGCAGTCTTTGACACGTTAGCCTGGGGTACTTCACGGGTGTCGACAGCTACACTGAAGCTCATTGTGAACTCGCTGTCGTCTTCTCTCTGGAAAGTGATGTTGTACTGGATCTGGGTGGCGTTGTGGCCAGGATGGAGCAGCAGGTGAATGGTCTTCCACTTGTTGGCGACGGAGGTGTGGCGAACCGCCACGTTGTCGCTGACGTGGGCCTCGGAGACTCTGCGAGCCAGCCTGTTAAAGCTGAAATATGGCCTGATTTCACCTACTGGGAGGGTGTACAGGCTCTGATTCCTCAGCAGGGTCACATGGTGCAGCTCGCCAAAGTGCTCTACAACAGAAATGAATACATGTTAAAGGCTATGGATAGATTTTTGTTCGTACCAACAAATCCCAGGACAAGACCAAAACCAAATCTGATTGACTGACTCAAAATAATATACTGTGTCCATGTAAAGGAACACGTCACCCACTGTAACTGCATTTCTAATGGATGTTTTTAATAGTTTTAGACTTGAGGTCTATGGCACAGAGGAATATAAATGTAAGATAAGAATATATCAAGCTTTGGTTACACAGACAATACTTATCAATATGATAAATTCATTGTTAGTTTGGGTATTTTAATGGGATTTGTTGACAATAAGTTAAGTATAGAATATCAGACCTATCCTTTAACTCCAGTTATTGTTATAAAAACTGTGGCTAGAAAATATCAACACAGTAATTATCCTCTAATTCACCTTGGCCACAGTCTCCCACATCGAAACCACAGGAGAGTACATTGCAGGCTTGGTCACAGAACTTGTCTGCCAGCCAGGAGTTGGCACAGCCTTGATTACAGTATGACGTCCCCCCAAGACCTCCTAGACCACCTGCAAACTGCCACACCTGTCCACCAGCTCCACCGGGACCGCCACCACCGACCCCAGCCCCAAACCGACTGTTCCCTGCTGAACCTGTCAGAGAAAAGGAATAACATATTAGATATGATTTAAACAAATTATCTTGTCAGTACAGGAGAGATTATGTTGATCTCTTTACCGACGCAGTCTCCTCCATCCCAGTCACAGGCAGAGTTGTTGCAGGCTTTGTCGCAGTACCCATCTTTGATCCAAGATCCTGGGCAGCCCTCGGCACAGTTGGGGACAGGCCAGGTGAGATACACCTGCAGGGAGGTGAGGAAAGAGAAGATTAAAGGCCAGATAAATGCCAACTGATTGATTAGTCTCACAATCCCCAAATGTTTTTACACTAGACACAGCACAAATTTTAAAATGAACTCATGAATTCACACCTTCTGTCCTTTCGAGTGGCTGTAGAAGTCGTCCGGCCAGACGTCCTTGCCAAACATTACATCATCATTGAGGTAAATGAACTTTTGGGAGAGTCCTGGGATGCGGTGGATGTGGGTCTCTATGGCAGGGGAGCTGAAAGTGGGAAGGTGGCTGTTGTTCTGGAAGATATCCTGGAAGTCAAAGGAAAACATATTTACGTACATATAATAATAGGCAAAATATATAATTACCAACTGGTACAAAGCATAGTTACATACATACACATAGTACATGTAGGAAGTTAGTTTGCTAATTTGACTGTATAAAACAGAAATTATGCTCAAATAAAATGAGACTTAAGTCTAAGTGCTAAAGTAAAATGTTTTAAACTCATGAATATATAGATAATGTGCTCTGTAATCTGTATCTTTCTGTTTCATCTTAAGACATTGCATAAGGTTTGGAGTCAGTAAAAAATATGCTGAGCACCCAGAATGCAGTGCAGTGTGGGAGAGGTCAGGCCTTAAATTTTACCTGATGTGTGACAACTGTAACTCTGGGATTATCCAGGTTGAGCCAGGAGGGAATCTGCCCGTTAGTGACGATGAAGATGTGTCGCACCCAGGGGGCGTGTCTCTCCACAGAGCGCAGCGAATAGCGGAGCTCCTCGTTGTCCTCAAACCGACTGGCTGACACGTCTTCATCCTGTTTGGACTGGAGAAAAGAGCGAACAATAAACACTGAGGCTGTATCTCAGGGGGTGTTATTGCTCAAAATGAGCAGGTAACAGGGTTTCCAACATATCATGTGTGTTCCAAAATCAATAAACATTTCTTAAATATGCATAATTTAATAGTGAGGAGAGATATGAAGGACCAGTTGTACCTGTGAGATGGCGGTGAGGTCCCAGAACAAGTAGCCAGGGGTGATGGTTAACTCTTTTCCATCCAGGGTCAGATTCTTTTTAGCCTGCTGCGTCAGATCGGTGAAATCCTGCGGGGTTTTCAGGTGGAGTAGGGCGATGCTGGCCTCAGAGTACAACTCAAACTGAGGGGCAGATAAACAACAGTAAGTTGTTAATTGCTTGAAAGAATCGTCCAGTGGTTTGGAGCTGCATTTCCATAAAGTTTGTGGACTTTGTGAACGGTTCAAATTCATGCATCAGAGGTCCAGATATCCCGACTTTTAGTCCCTAGAACGGGTCAGGGTCCAGACACAATGGATCCTACACTTCCCATAAGGCAAATCACTATCTATCTTTTGTTAGACCCTCTCTACCTGGCAGTTCTCCTTTGTTTTGTTGTTATTAACCACAAGAGCAGTGTGGCAGAGAATTAATCCCTGACTTTTCTGTGAACTGTGAAATTTGGTACTTTTGATTTTCAAGGTCCCAAGAGGACAAATTCCAATAACTGTGATATGGCGCCATCATTAGGCCATTTCAGTTTACCCAACACTTTGGTTAATGGCCCCTATTAGTATGCTGATGTTTAGCTCCAAGCACCAATGTACAGTACAGCTCAAAGGGCCGCTAACATAGCTGTAGTCTTATTATTAGTTTACAACACAGAAGAATAACAAGCTCAAATGTTTTAGTAAATGCCCTCCTCAAATACTACTTTTGATTAAACAAATTGCTCCTATATGCTGTTGTTGCTCTGTCAAATGTGCAGTCAGTAGAGTTCCTCTTAAAGAACATAAGTCACCACACACACACTGTGGGAAAATCCTAAACAGCTGTTTCTCAAAGCAGAAGTCACATGTTTACCGACATAGATTAACCACAGTGCCAGACTTGTGACAGAGACCTTGTGTCTATCGTTGGGACAGACGGACAGATTTCTGAAAGATTGGGAATTAAAATGACAGGACACAAGGTGACCTCTGACCCTGCAGATAGAGAGGTAAAATCAAAGCAGCTATGATGCCTGAGTGGAGGCATCTGCTGGCTGCTGCAGCCTTGAGACAGAGCGATGAGACAGAGTGATGTGTGTGTGTGTGTGTGTGTGTGTGTGTGTGTGTGTTTTTTTTAAAAGAGGTCCGGAAAATTCTGTGACGTTATCCCTTCTCCATGGGGGTCACATGGAGGTGGCTCTCTGTCTGATCTCAGGAGAGCTATGTGAGGCATTCAGGGACTCTCTCTCTCTCTCTGTGTGTGTGTGTGTGTGTGTGTGTGTGTGTGTGTGTGTGTGTGTGTGTGTGTGTGTGGTGGTGCATGTAAGAGAGACTCCCTGGCTTTGCCCATTTCAAACCATTTCCCAGGACAAGATTCGCCGTGTCTCGCTAAATCATCCAACACTGACGCCAAACATCTCACTTGAGCTCGTGTTCTGCCTCGACTCGCTCGTTTTTCCTCTGCTCCTGTTTTTAGGTGATGAGGATTAGCTGTGTCTTATAAACTCAGCGGGGAGCAGCCAGGAGACACCAAGCCCCGGATCACATTGCCATCTTTATTATAGCTCTCTTTATAGTCCTGATAATGCTCTGACACACGCACACAAAGCAGAGGTGCATGCCGGGCTCACACAGGCATGTGCCTGCCCTGGCGACCGTAAACAATTCTAAACAAACGTTTAGGATATAAACCTGATTATTAACTAGAAAACAATGAAAATTAAAACTTAAATTATTTTACAAGTCCTGAAAGAACTACTTGATAAGCTCGGCAACAATTTTTACAATCGATTAATCATTTAACGAGTTATGTTTTCTGGTATTAGCTTCTCAGGTGTAAGGAACTGCTGCTTTACCTTCACCCTCACTCTTACAACATGTTTAGAATATATATGTTACGTCTGGCACACAAAGTAAGTTTTCATTTCTCCAATTTCCATCTTTTTGCATCACTGTCAGAGGGGAAAAATAAGCAGAAATTGTCAATTTCTTTCCCATTTAAAAAGGAGACTGTAAAGAAAAATGAACACATCCTTCCTCTTACAAATTCATAAGCCACAGTAGCTCAATTCAGTACTTTCTCTGGTTTTGTTGCTACAACCTTCCTTGCTCTGGTATGGTCAATAGCAGACAAAGCAGCTGACCAGCAGAACAGAAAGTTTAAAGAGAAGTTGACAGTTGATTCATTTACTTTCTATTGAGTTTAATACGGTTACTTCCTGTTTCATTTGGAAACATACGGTTGTTATTTTCCAGGTAAATAACTTCAAGCAGCATTAAAAACCTGAAGTAGTATGCTCAGTATGAGGGAGAGAAGAGAGGAGGAGGGAGGAGTAAATACTGTGAAATTTACAAAGACAACCCTGAATGGCTCATCACCTAACTATCATCTCCTCCAGGCAGCACCGAGATTTATTCCCCACCACAGCGGATGTGTGTCTTATAAAGTGTAAAAATAAATATAAAGTGTTATAGTAAACAGTAGTATAATTATAGTGTGTGACACATAATCTGTGATCACAGTGTGTCACCGCAGAGGCAACAGAAAATGTAATTAGTGTAGGAAAAAATTGAGTTTGACACTGTGAGTAAACCAATTAACCCAGTGGTGAGTGATCTTTTTAAGCAGATGGATTGAGATGTTGTAGTGGCCCAACAGACAACTATAAATGAGCTGAAGCTGTGTTATCCTGCACCGCCCCCCCGCTGAGTCGAGAGAGCAGTCTGACAATCAGACACTGGCAGGTGACCTACAGAGGAGCCTGAAGCAAACCTGTCCAGTTCTTTATATAATGTGACGACATGTCCCAGCTCAGAAAGGGGCTCAGGTGTCGGCATTACCAGCACTGTGGGCTTGAGAAGCCAATCTGACCAACACTACAAGATTAAATATAAAAAGATAGTTGCAGTTTTGTTGCATATTTTAAGATTGTCGGTGATATGGCTGTTAAAAAAACATAAAATCCACATATTGAGACTTTTTTTCTTGTCAATTAGCTGAAAAACTTGTAAAATTAGCCTGGTCCCACATGTCTGAATCAGAAAAACATATCCAATTTGATCAGCTATTCAAATTAAATGACTCGAAATGGCTAATTTTGTCTCATTACTATGCCAATATTGTATCTATATTAAACGAACTAGCTTACTTTTACACAGGTTTAATCATCTAATAAAAACGGTGCTTGAGGACATCAGTTTGTGCGGTTTAAGGCTGGTACTTTTAAAAAGATCCTGTGAAGAAAATAATATTGCTGGATTTTCTTTTGAGGTCTTGTGTGTAAGTTAAAGATTCTTGGATAAAAGGTTAATTCACATTTTCTTTAAGAAGTCAGAAAAACATACACAAAGTGAACTCCTTTTTCTGGCCTACCAGACTGAGATGAAACATGAGTAGGAGTCATTTTAAGAAAGTTTGGAAAATCACTGGTTCCAGCTTCTCAAATGTTAAGATATTCTACTTTTTTTGTCTTATATGTTAGTAAAATTCTTTGGGTTTAGTCAGTCAAATTAAATAAGCAATTTGAAGACATCACTTTAGGCTCTTGTGATTGCCATTCTTTACTTTTTTCGGAATAATCTGAGACTAAACGATTAATTGGTTAAATAATAAAAATCATCATCATCTAAAAAGATGCACAGCCCAGCATTTTAATACTCAAACTGCATATATTTTTTATAAACTTCAACCTTTTCATTTTTATCCTCCCTATATTTCTTTTTCTAATTCCTATTTTTACATTATTCTTTATTGCACACCAGCTCTTATTCAGCTCAGCACATATTATATGAGGGATAAACTCTTTGTATCTTGCTTCACAGTGGAGATGAGACACCGTGTGGACAACCGTAGGCTCCTCATAACACATAAAAATACACGCTAATACAAAAACATCAGCGGGCTTGTACACAAACAGTGGGGGCAGGACTCGACAGGCAACAGCACGGGCAAATGATCGGGGTTGTGGGGCAGCTTTCATCACCATAGCACTCGGTCTAACACCAGCTATAAATACCGGCCGGCTCTCACGGCTGAACCTCTCCCTCCACACTATGCACATCATCCCTCTTTCACAGAATCGGCCCGGCGACACCAGGAAACACCTTGAAACCCAAACTGTGCATTGTGTGGTGGTCCGTGTACCTAGAATCCCTCCAGCCTTAAACGCCAAACACACACACACTTTCCTGGACTCTGTGTGACACCGCTTCCAACTTGTTCCACTTATGAACTCCAAGCAGGTAAAGCCAGGAATAAAACACTCATGCATGAGATGACAGGGTGTGTCCAAGAGTGCAAGGAAGGTCAGTAAAATCCTTGTGACCTTTCGGCGTGCTGGCTGGCGCCACGCCACTCCAAACAGTTGTTCTACTGTTAACCCCCTCACCGCCAGCTAAGGTTACAGCCCGAATGCCGCTGGTTATTATCACATGACCTGCCAGACTACACCACGGCAAACCTGGGCAACAATGCAGGGAATGATGGGACAACTGGGTTTGATGATGATGTGTAGGTTAAAGACTGTTAACCTACACATCATCACATACAAAGTTACAGCGATTTTGACTCCTGAGATTCAGACGCTGCTTCTTCACCTGTTTGTGCTCACAGACAGCTGTAAATGTGTGACTATAATATATATATATATACACACATACAGTAGTATTATGTACAGTATGTTATTGTAATAATAAAAAGCGTATCTGCAAGTTTCAGATATTCTCAATTTTATTTTAGAGATTTGTTGATGCCATCTGGAATTAAGACCCATATAACTTTACTATTATCAAGCCTCTTTTCTACAGATTAATTTGCATTTGCAATGAAAGGAAACCCCAAAAACCTTGAAAAGATATTAGGATCCTTTATAAACTAACCCCACAGAGGATTCCCCAACACGAGAACTGCATTGGTATTAAAATACAAAGAAATTGCGTGGGTAAAGATATGAATAAACTGCATGTTTTATTTAATGTACATTGAATAATTATATATGTAAGATCTAAAGTCAAAGACGCACTGACGTACCTCCAATTACTGTTTTCAAAAGATAATATTTTTATGTAATGTTTTAATTACAGTAGGGCTGCAATAGTTTTTTAATTATCAATTAACATGCTGATCAATTTCTCAATAGATTCAGTGGTCTAAAAACAGATCATAATTCCCCCAAAACCCAACCTGACATATATAAATTGCTTGTTTGGTCTAAAATGTAAAGATTTACTATCCTAAAAGATAAAGAAAACCAGCAAATATTCACATTTGTGAAGCTTTTTTTTTCTGTTTTGGGAATTTCAGCTTAAAAATAACTTAAATTGATCCACTAATCAATTAATTGCCCAATTGCTTCACTCAGTAATGGGCAGTTTTTAACACTGACTTCATTTTAAGGCTTCTGCAGAGTCACTGTAAATCTGTTATATAACACCTCTGTCTTGCATTTAGAATAAAAGGCAGTTACCAAAGATGTTAATATCTAATCCATCACCCATTAATTCTAATCAGCCACGTGAGTTTATTATCGGAAGACGGGAACAAACCGTTGACTCATGTCCGTCCTGCCTGCCTGCTGGTGCAGGACGGGGTCACTCAGCCCCAGGCTGCACTGTTTTGTTTTCTTTGATTATTTCGGAGTAATCCACACTCGTTAGTGGCATTCCTCCCTCTCAAAATATAAAGCAGAGTTCTGATTAGAGAAAATTATTAGATACACAAGCCGCCGGGCTAAACAGAGGCCCGCTATCCACTTCACAATGTAACTGTTTAAAATAGAAAAAGCCCATATTAAGTGGGACCTCGTCTTCAAGGAGGATTTGACATTTGTGCTTAGCCCTTTCTTAGATCAAGCTGCTATGATGTATAAAAAGATCTTAATTTGTGCATGCACAAATATACAGTATGTGTCTGTAGTGATTATGATATAGCAACGTGCCCCAGCACTGAGATAGGACACTGCGAGAGTGACACCTGCTGGAGAAGTCAGTTATGATAAAGTTGACTTTCTCCTTGACGCTGACAACACTTCCTAAAAACATTTAGAAAATAGTGCCCAGTCTCTGCATCGAGTAAGACATATAATTTATAAAAAGAAAGCTAAAAGTCATGAGTCTCTACTGTACATTTATCAAATGTGCAACTCTGCCCCCTGCTGTTCTGAAACTGACATATCCGCCTCATCAGACATCTACATATAGTCGATTTTTTTGGAAAAACGCATCAAAAGAGATCTTTAATTGATAATTGACTGACAAAATTAAAGTAAAAGAATAAAGAGTTGGAGGAGTCAATGTGTTCTTGTCCATTCTGGTGTTTTCCAAATATGCAGTAGATGTAATAAATAAGAACAAAAGAATGATTTTAAAATAAAAGTGTCCCAAAGACATAATGGATAAATCTTGTAGATGTTAACAAATACAGAGAATCTCTACAAGAATGTCAAATATGCTGTGTTTACATAGTTTCTCTCCATTTCATCTTATTTGTAAGAAATCTGACCGGCATCACAACAAGTTTTAATTGATTGCTATTTGGATTTGGATTAAGTAGCTTGTGACAAATTAATAGGGCTACAGCTGTTATTAAAATGTTTCAAATACATATTTAATCAACATTTAGTTAAATATAGCTATTGTATCAGACTTGGTATAAGCAGATACTCAATATTAAAAAGGACTCCAATAGGGATCTGGGCTAAAAACACTTTATCTGATACAGCCATAGTAATAAGTAATGATTAAGTATTTTAATAATAAAAATGTTTTACCTGTTTGATCTTATTGGTTATGACAGAGGGCAGTTTGACTCTCAGCTGCTCCGTTTCCTTAAAGGACGCCGGGAAGCCGCTCAGATAGGCCAGGGACTGCATGCGGATCAGACCCGGAGCCTCTTTATCCGTCGTCTGCGACACACACGACAAAAAGACAAAATGCTCCATAAAAACACCTTCTCATGTTTAATTACCTGGATCTATCATTGAGGGCTGTGTAATTTATAGGAGGATATATGTTAAATCATGCTCATTTTCATACAGGACAACATGCATTTGATAGTTAATAGAAACTCACCAGGTAACATCTGGACACAGAGAATTTGTGGTCTTCTCTAGACACATCTGTATAGGCTTTATCAGCTGTAAAATCCAATGAATCAACAGTAAGCAACAGAACTTGAAGCAAATGAAAAGTTGCAGGTTTAACAACACCATGGTAATAAATATACACTCATGGTCAACTTGTCGGCTTAAATAAGATTTAAAAACACAAAGACTAAGAATGGATGTTTAGATAACCGGTCTCAGCTGTGCAGGTGGAAATCCCCTGCTCTATCTACCCATCATTCTTAGATTAGAGACATATTAGACTTTGTGAAGGTGGACGAGATTAAAGAGTCATCTGCCAGCTTTAAGAAGACGTGGGACATTTTGAATCACAGAAGCTGATAAATAAACTTTTACCAGACTGATAAACCAGCCATATTCTGTAGTTTTAGTTCATCTGAGCGAGTTCTCTCATCTTTTACTGTTGTGTATCCAACTACATACACATTTAATTAAAAAATATTTGCCATATAAATGTTACTTTTTATTTCTAATTGGTAACAATTTCCCTTTTTTATGTGTTTTGTTTGCCGTTTTGTTCGGAACTGAAGCTCAACAAGCCACTTGTTGTTATCTATTATCTGTTTAGTTCATCCATACTACTGCAATTATGCAAACCATCAGATGGCTTACAGTCACCGATAATAATCAATCGATAATGAGTTGGGCTGTATGATCTGATGGCTCACAGAGCTCTCATTAGTCAGCCTCCAGGTGTGGGTTTCACACAGCACGTCTAAAAATACTGTGATATACATCTGGGTTACGTGTCTTTAAACTCAACATAAACGAACATAATGCATCTCAAAAAAACCACAAGGTTGCACTGCAGTTGAGCTGTTAAATGCTGCGGAGGCTGTGCCTGCACGACATCCTGTTGGTGAATAAAGCACTACATCGCTGGTTCCATGACAACTACTGATGGTGCACATATTCTAATTTTAAAGGCTAATTATGTGTGTCATGGTTGACGCTTTAAATGCTGGCATAGCAGAAATGTTGCTTCATTTGGTGACTGAACAGGTTAACTGGCCATAGATTAAGCTTATTTATGTATTTATCTGGTAAAATGTTATGTATGACTCTGAGTATAGGACATTTTAGAACCTCAGATAACAGATAAACAGATGTTTAAATGCATAAATGGCCAAGCATCAGAATATTTATAGGTGTTAATGGTTCAGTAAACAATTCACAGATATGGTTCTCTTGGATCTCGTCAACATCAGACACTCTGAAACTATTCCAGTTTTACAAAACAGGCCTAAAAACCATCTGTAACATCAATTTCACGAGTCACGTTCTCCCAGTTAAAGTTTCATTCTCATATCAATAATTTAGGCGAATTAACTTTATAGATTTGTATCAAGTAGCTCATGAAAAATAAGATGTGTGTAATGTACAGCTGTTAAATACAATATTTGTATTTTATTAAAGGAAATGGAAAGAGGAGAGACGGTTAGATGTATTTAAATGTCTTGTAAAAATGTACAATTTGAATAATGAGTACACCTGTGATGATTTTATTGTTCACTTCCTTGTTTACTCTTCCATTATGTACTGATCCTTCATGCTGCTGCAGTAACTAGTAATATGGATTTTAGCATCTACTTCAAATAACATAATTTGCATTGCAATGCTTGCTGCTGGGTTCAGTTATTACACCGCTCTGTGGTTTTTATTGCTCTCCCTGGGAAAATCTCTCGCATGCTGCTTGGAATCGTTTAGGGAAAATATTTTCCTGCCAAAATTTTATCCTCGTTTGTTACTAGAAATGGTCTGATCTCATTTCACAAGTGTGTTTCTGAGTGCTTGTGTTTTTTTTTTTTTTTTACCGTCAGTCTGCGAATGGAAGACCACCACGGAGGCGGTGGTGGACGGGTGGAAGGGTTTGTTCATCAGCAGCAGCTCTTTGGCGGCAGAGAAGGAGGGAGAGAGCGTCGGCAGCTCTTTGAGTGTAATGTTGGCTGGCAGAGCGGGATCCAGGGCCAGCATGGGCGCTATGATGCAGTGGGACAGCAGGCATTCTGGCTTAACACTAAAAGCAAAAAGAAAAGATATATAATCTTTAAATTGAATCTAACTCAGATTGCCACTTCCTCTAACTGTTGTGGTTTAGGCGCAACACAAACATATCCATGAAATTAGTCAGTGAGTTCACACATTCAGCAAACAGCTTCCTTTGTGGAAACGTTGCATCAAGTCTTGTTTTGCGTCTGCGGTTAACAGATGAGTGACCGACGAGGAGGAAGGAGGGACATGACAAGAAAGGGGCCCCCCTATCTTTGCCAACCTTTCATTTTAACGGAAGGAAACACCTAACCCCCCCCTCAAGGCGAATCTTCACTGCGGTTCAGCATGTCGCCACAATAGTTGATCATTTCACTCAGAGCAAAACATAAAAAAGACATTTTCACCTCCCTCGAGCCAACAGGTAGACTTGTTTAACAAAAACAATGCTGTCCCACCAGTTTACACTTGAGTTAAATCTCTTTGTTGTCCAACCAACCTCAACTTCCTGTTTCAACATGAAATTCAGTGTCCTCACAATGCTGTTTCATTGTGACTTTAACAGTTATTTCTCATTGTTTTAAAAGGAGCGAATGACCCCTAAAAACATAAGTTAGAGGCTATACTTAAAAATGGGATTGGGCAAATGTACACACACATATAACTGACACCTCTCAGAAAGTTTAAACCACTTTAAGCTTTGTAAAAATGGACTATGTGGCAGATCTGTATTGCATTATATTGAATTATTCTACCTAATAAAGTGGCCAGGGAGTGTGTATACAAGGAGAAGATTTTGATCTGTAGAACACCTTTTTTGCTCTATTACACCTTTATGAAATCTTTATTGAAATATCGGATTTACACGATTTTTGTCGGAGATTTAGTTTGCTAAATTAACCAGAATCAGACAGTCAATCTAGTAATTTGATCTAAAAACAGTTTTTCTGTTCATTCTCTGGAACAATTAACTACATGACGATATACCCACTCAGTCGCCAGTTTATAAGGTAAACCTATCTGAAACTAAAGCAGTCCAACGTAACACAATAAATCCTACTTTCATGAAGGTTATATGAAGGTTATAATGTTTATCTTTTGTTGATTCAACTGTATGATCTAGTTTGTGGTGCTGTTGAACTGTATTGCATTATACACAGAGGTGTTTCTGTTCTGTAGCCTACCTTCACTAATAGGAGTCTATTTATAATTAAAATTGTGCTATAAAATTACCTGTACCTCCTCAACTCTAGTGCTCAACACCAGAGCCCCTAAGGGCTGTGTGCTCAGCCTCCTCCTGTTCACACCGTACACTAATGTTTGCAACACCCAACGTAGAGATAACTCTGTGTCAAACAATGACTCATATCAGGAGGTATTCAACAATCATGCAGAGTGGTGCACAGAAAATAAACTCCTGCTCATCGTCAGAAAAACCAAAGAGCTGATTGTTGATTTTAGGGAAAAAGAGGCAAAGACAGCCTTAGTTTTAGGTTCCTGGGACTCAACATCACAGAGAACCTGTCATGGTCATGTCACATCTCCACTCTGGTTTAAAATGCATAGAAGTGACTGTATTTATTGAGGAAACTTAAGAAACCAAAATGAGGAGCGATAGAAAGTATACTGACTGGAAACATCACCAACTTGCATGAGGTGAGGATACTAAAAGACAGCAACCACTGCAGCCACAGCCTGTTCACCCTGCTGCCATCCGATTTTTCCCTCAACAATTCATCACACAAATACAATACACACCCAACGCATATTATTCAGACTCACCTGTCTTTTGGCACTTCGGTTGTCTCACTGGCATTTTTCCCAAGGCGTTCCCTGTGCGCCATAAAACAGTGAGTTCACATTAGTTTCATCATATACTAACTCAAGTAACAACACTGTGCAGCCGGGTAGAGCTCAGCAGAAGGCAGTGAAAAGAATAACTTCATGGCATCAGCTGAAAGAATAAAAGTTCAGAGACTAATGAAACTTAGTTGTTGACTGAGTTATTCTAACCTTTGATCGAAGATTCCCTCTTTCCTCTGGGGCAATGTCTCAACAAGCCAATCAGAGTGAAAATGATAATGTTACAGCTCAAGCTTGTATGCCAATTCTGACTGCATTCAGGTGAACAAACTGAAGCTACGTCAGTGTGTTTGCACTCTATGACCATATAGTGCTTTCTGCAGATAAAGGTTCATATTTACTTGCAGTAATGGGCTGCAGCCTACATTAATTTGACCTAACAGTCAAGCTACACTGCACCCCTCCATTTGCACAGACAGTGGAGCCACAGCTACCTCAGAGCTTTTTGTTCCTCCTCCAGTTGCTCTTTGACCGTCTTCAGTTCCTTCAACAGAGCCATGTCTGTTCCGTTCACCCATGTGTACACCACGTCAATAGGCATGGGCAGACAGAGCCTGTAAAAAAATAAATAATAGAAACACTCATATCCCTCCACACAGTCCTCTCTAAAACTGCAAAGACGTGACCCTGTTTCCCTCCCCCGGCACACACACTTTCCTCTACTGAGTCTTTTTTATTCATGCATGGTTACACCTCGTCCAGTTCTTTCATATTTCCTTCAAGGGAAGAGTCAAGAGTCTTAAGTGGCATGAAGGAAGGTATTCTACAGAAAGTAGGCCACGGGTAACATTTGTGAATTATGATATGAATAAGAGTGTTTAAATCTCAACACCACCCAATAAGATTTTGCACTTCCTGTAAGCGTTGAGATAAAAATAAACCCCCTTTGTCTACATGAGGAAGAGACACACACATGCATGTTTTTTCTTTAGTTGGGTTCAATGTACCCTTCTTTCGCTCACCTGCTTTGAAATGATTTCCCACCCACATTGTCTCTGTAGGAGTCAAACAGCACATGATACTGGTCCCGACTCCACTCCACCACCACCTGTATGGACAGGAGGGAGTAACTAGATGATACAACCCTCTGGGACAAATAGTTACACATGTTGCTACCCCCCAGATTTCACACAGCCAAGGCCACACCAAACCAGAGCATGTTACTTGTTTCACCCATTGCCTGTACAGTATGACTCTCTGGGTATGTTGCAGATGTTTAGGAACCACTCTTTAAATTAACTAATATTCAATCCAAACTTATTTAAAAACTTTGAATGACATCCACAAATCTCCCTCAATAAAAACACTTAACTTACAAGCGTGGATGGGCTGTCAGTTTGAAAGCCATGGGTGTAAATCAGTAAAGAGATTGTACACTGTCTTTTAAATACGTACAATTAAATGATTCACTATAATGCCGAACTAGTATAAACACCATACTGATCCATAAAACGTCTCAATTAAAGACCTAAAGACACGCAGGTTTACGAGCAAGCAAGATCGTTTTAAAAAAAAGCCGAATCTTTGAGTGTAATCTGGCGGAGAGTCAACACAGCGACCCACGTTAGCAAGCCAATTCACCAGCAAACACCATAAAGTGGAGGGGAAGAGAGAAAACAGGACAACCTTTACCTCTCCAAACTGAAATGCGGAAACTATCATGAGGACGAGCCCCCCAAAGCAGAGGTAGAGCCCGTATCGGTGGGACAGACATGTGTACGTCTGCCTCTGTAACAGCTTGAGCACCGAGTTGACGACTACCATGGTTCTCCTTGGCGAAGCATAACGCTGCATTCATTCAAAAAATAATAAATAATAATAATAATAGTAAAAAAAAAGAAAACTAAATAAACAACAATAAACCGCCGGTTAACGCACTGAACAAAGTAAACATCACAAGCGGTCCCGGATCTGTCAGCTGACCGAGAGCCAGACTGCGTGACACATGACAACCATACATTGCACGCTTCTTCTACGCTGGTGACGCTGACGCTGCGTGCTCGTCACCGCCCTCCGGTGGAGAGGAGCAGCGTCCGTGGTGCGTTCAGGGGTTGGTTAAAAAAAAAAAAGAAGAAAATTTAAAAAACGTGGTAAAGGGGTCAAGTCAGGCTAATTCCCCTGTTAAGTGTTATATTGTAGTACATTTTTGGATTACTAATGCTGGTGGAGTGCATTAACTTATATCAATAACAATGCATCATATATTATATGTTTATTAATCTGCAAAGTGACTAGGAATTACAGCTATAATATAAAAAGGGGAGTGAAAAGTATAATATATTCACCTTAAATGTGCCGTAGTGAATGTACTTGAGTAAATATATTTAGTTATTTTGTAGGTACATTTAAAAAAGTGAATAAACAAGTAAAACAAAACAATAAAGTCTTGTAATGTCATTATTATACTCACTAAAGTAACTTTTAGGTAGCCTGCTTCTATTCTTATAACCATTGAAGGCAGCCTTTAGTATTTCTGAACCCATTATGAGCTAAGATTGGTATTATATGGTGTTTTTAAAGAACTAGTGATTAATCTACTATATTAAAATATGGGTAGGAGTATGAGGTTACAGTAAGTATGCATATATGTAAAATATATATGTATAGTTGTGTTTATATGTGTGTATATTTGATCCCCTCTGTTAGAATAAAATATAAATATAGATATATAGATAATTTAGCCACTTTATACCTCTAGCTACTTTACAGATTAAGCTTTTACAAAAGAACACATCAACTACCCAATATTATATAGTCTGAAGTAAATAAAATCAGCTTTACATCAACCAGCTACATAATGCTGCTTAATAATATAACACAATAACACTGAATTCATCAGGTTTTCACAGGTTATCTGAATTTTATCCCAACAAAAGTGTTTGTTTACTTGTAAATAGGAACTGATTGTAAGCGATGGTATCTCTACTTAAGTGAAAGATCTGAACACTCCCACCCCTTCCCCCCATACAGCCCTTTTCCTCATCATTACTGGCACACTCCAGACGGATTTCACAGATAAAGGCTTTTTCTTTTTTTAAAGAAAGGGAGGAAGGAAGATGATCACAACGGGTGTTCACATTTGCGTATAGGCCGCCCACAGGGAGTCGATTTGGGGAAGAGGTTACTGTATACTGTATATCGTCACAGTGACAAATACAATTACTTTCTGAGCACCTTGTGACTGCCAGTAACAGACCAGACTCAGCCCAGTTTCCTACTGGGCCAGTCTTTTTTCTTCTTTTTAAAACGTGGATTTCAACATTGTATGGCACTGTTTTACTGTACTCATACGTGTTGGCTGCGTTTTCTGGACGTTACGCGTAAAACCTCTCCAAGATGTTTTGGTTCATGCAAGGACTCTGCTTCCTGCCAGCGTTTTTGGTCATCTGGTCCTCCAGCACTTTCATCGTTTCCTACCTTATTGCGCTTTTCAGAAATGATGTCGACATAATCTTCCCATACATAAGGTAGGTTTTGTTGTCGGATGTGGAAATGTTCTGTTATATATTTTATTTTCTGTGATTTCTGCGAGAGCCAAACTTTAGTTTCGTTTTCCTCAGTTGGCAGGTGCCCAAACTCCAGCTGCACGTACGTCTGTTGTTTCAGGAGACTTGTGCAGCTTTAGACCTCTTCTTTTCACTTCTCCCTCTAAAATTAGACTTATTATTTAAGGAGGGGACGACTAAAAGTTTGACATTCACTAGCTGCAAACTCTACATATAGCCCCAACTAACGGGAAGTTACTATCTATCATCATTGTCTGAAATGTGAGGGCTAAAATGCAGATCTCTCTCCTCTCGCTTTTTAGTGACACAGGTGCAAACCCCCCAGAGAGCTGCATCTTTGGCCTGATGACATTTATTTCTGCGTGCGCAGGTATGAACATCTGCAGTGTCTGGCACCTCTGTAAGACTCTTATTAGGCAACTTTGGGCTTTCCCAAGGGTGGAACCAACTTTCCCAACATGTCAGTCACATTTCCCTTTTTAAGAAAACTGAAACAGAATTTTTTTTTTTGGGGATGCAACAAAAAAAAAAGAGTTTGTGGTCAATGCACAAATGTGTGTTTTATCTCCTTCACAGGAATAGGCACCATATATGCCAGGTACAAGTTTGTAGAGAAGCTGAGTGAGGAAACCAGAGTGGTGAAGCCATGTCTCAATAAAAGTGCTCTTGTAGTTGGGATGATGTCCTGTGTGGGCATGTGTATTGTTGCAACCTTCCAGGTGTGTATCCACATGTGGTTGCACATTTCAATCACACTTAAATGATTTAATTTAATGTTTAATATCATATCTTTCTACCTTTTTTTGTTGTTTGATTGCAGGAAACAACAGTGGAAATAGCTCATGATGTAGGAGCTCTGCTGTTCTTTGTCTCTGGCGTTGTTTACACAGTCCTCCAGTCCATTATATCATATCGTGCCTATCCATTTGGGTCGTCCATGGGTGTGTGTCGAGCGCGTTTGGGTATCGCCATCCTTGCTACGTTGGCGTTTTTCCCCAGTATCCTTTCACAGAAGTCGACTGTTAAAACACCAACGAAACCTCTATAACCTCAGGTTTTTCCTGATGTTTCTTTTTACCATGTTAACATGCTGCTGCTGTTCATACAATCATGATAGTGTCAACCTGTAAATGCACATGAGGATCATTCTTCACACATTTTTAGGTGCCAACCATTGTTAAATGTTATTCCCTTGATGAATAATTCAGCTGTCATCTGTGCGTTCTTTGTGAAACAAAGCACGCTGCACAGAGACAAAGATGACGAGGTAGGCTGTAGTTTGTCACCATGTCTGAATCCATCAGTTTAAAGTTGAGACATTATGTCAATTAGTCAATAAACAGATAAATAATCAGCAAATGTTTGGATAATTACCAGATTTTTTTGAGCAAAATGCTGATTCCTTGGATTTATTTTCTTTATCTTATGCCAGTGATTCCCAACAGGAGATACTTGATTGTGCAGCAACTAATTTGAAATATATCCACTGGTGTGTATAGGACAAAAAATAATATCCAAATAGAATTACAAATTGCTGCATAAAGTAATGAATTAACAGTTAAAACAGTTAGCTTTGACTGAAATAATAAGCCAGGAGTTGGGGTCCTTGAGCCTGAACCACTGTATCTGAATATTTGGGAGTTTAGATCACTTTCACAGCAGCCGTTTGGACATGAAATAGTCGGGTAAACACAGGTGTTTACTAATGAGGTAAACAGAATCAGGGAGCTACTTCTGTGCTTGTTGTCTCACTGGAAAGGCTCACTGTCATCCTTGTTTACCCTATTATTCCATGTCAAAATGGCTGCCGTGAAAAAGGTCTATTGACCGAACAATTACTGGATTCCTCTAGAGAATGAGGATCAGTCAGGGTATTGATAATGTTATTGTAGTTGTACACATGTTGAACGTCTACTGATTGATCCCTCTTTCAGGACTATCCCTACCACTTAGCCAGCGCTGTATGTGAGTGGATCGTTGCCTTCAGCTTCATCTGCTTCTTCCTCACGTACATCGACGATTTCAAAGTGAGTATCAAACTCATCAGACACAAACTGTTTTTTTTTCCTTTTCTTTTTTTAAAATGTATTCTTATTCCTCTCCCTTTTTTTATTCCCTACAGCTGTTCACCTTACGAGTGAAAACAGAGTACGAGGAGTAGCCTACTCTTGATCGGTCTCCCAACTGCAGGCGAAGTTTTGTATGAATATCGGTATTTTTTAAAGTTTAAAAACATGCTGCATCTCACACTGTAAGGCTTTTATAGTATTTTCTGTTTTTTATCACCTGACTGAATTTTTTTGGTAGAATACAGTATGTACTTTTTACATTATTTATAACAACAGGCTGACCGTCCAGTATGACATTACAGAAGTTTTTTTTTTTTTTTTTACTGTTTTATACAACCTCAAACAATTTTTATAAGTGTACTTACTGCTACTAGTGTCAGCCACTTTGCACTTTGATCCTGAATTTTTTTGCCACATCAGCGTGACTCGTCCCCTCAGACCTGTGACTTCTAATAAGAGAAGTTCATTGCACCGTGAACACATGATCGCTACACATGTGGTTAAATGAGAATACCACTCAAACAAACGACAAGTTTGTCTGTGGGTACGAGGAAGTTTAGTCCATACTGATGTTTTGTGAGAAAAATGGTGAGGCCAAACTGGGTTTTCTCACTGGTATGTACTGTAGGTGCTCTTTTTATGCTGAACATGTGGATTATTATTCAAATGCTGCCACTTCCTTAATCGATGTTGAATATTTTTTAGTTTGGAAATTCTCTAATTGAGTTTTATTTTGACGGCTAAACTGTTAAATTAGGTTGAAATCTACAAATCAGTGTTTTGGTTCTGGTACTTACTGCTCACGTGCTAAATGGTCTCAGCTGAAAAGTTAATTAGTTTGCTCAGTACAACTGACAAATTTAATTGCTGTAATAAAATAAACAGGAATTAAAGCTGACTATACTGGAAGATGAGATTTTCAGTATGCTTTCTGGCAGATAAATAAAGCCTTTATTCTCTGCCTTTGCCAGTAATTCCCCACTTTTTGGCCTTTGACCCCTCAGAACAAAATGATTTGATCGTGCCGTTCCCTGCTCAAATAGTTTAATTTGTAGGATTGTTTCTTATCTCTTCAACTTCCAGCCACTTTTCTCCTAATTTTTGGGGATTATCACGACCCAGATTCGGGAGCTTTATACTGTAGCCGTTATTTTGCAGTAGTAAAAGTAACATCACAGGGCACAGTAGAAAAACCAAGGGTACAAATGTAAGAAGCTGGGAAGCCCTGAGAGAAATGACTTACTCTTATGCAATTAATAAATTAAAGTGTTATGACACATGGGAAAGTAGATAAATACTCTGAAATAATGTGAGGCTGCTTAATATGTTTTTAAATACCTTCATTTTCTTCTCACATGCTGAGGAAAGTTCCCAAATTGAAGATCACTATTACATTTAACTATCAGCTGATATGTAAGTCAAGTACTTTTGTTGCACTCCTTTTATAGATCTTGTAATTGGTGATTAGTCGGTGGTACTAACATACAATACTTCCAAGAGAAAACCCTGTGCTGTAACGTGTAAGTGGACAGAGCGGAGGTCACGTGGACACAGATTATTAACCTGTTCACTACAGATACTGTATTTACAAGGGAAATATTTGTTTTTAACTTTGTATTGCTTATGACATAATGTACTGTACAGATTATAAATGCACTGCCGAGTTGCCAAATAAAGACACACTTTTTTTTTTTTAAAGCAAACTGAGTGTTTATTACAGATCCAAAACTTCTTGCTTTTGTAAACAAAGTGCTTTCCAGGCGTCTCCACACCAACTTGTTCACAGTCATTATAGTGTAATATCCATTCATAGAAATCTCATGAATACAACAATTTATTAAGTTCTCAACAGTTCTTTTCTCGCTATTTAAGTCCTGTTGACTATAATGATAAAGAGTCTTAACTACAAGCAACATATGCAACACAAACAAAGCTGCAGCTCACAAAAATGTACTTCTTAGTGCAAGTGTGTTTACTCTTCGTTCCACTTTTACTTCAGACATTAAAACTCTGCAAATCTGAAGACATGTCGCTGGAAAAATGCATGTATTCAAAGCAGCGCCAGTCAATACATTATTGTCTTTCATGTGACATATAATGAGATATAAAGACTTTTTTTTTCTGTATTGTAAATGAAGACACATACAGCAGCTTTGGAAAGTATTCAGATTTCATATTTTTTCATTTTTAAATTAGCAAAAATCTCTATTTTGGCTTTGAAATGATTGTGTTTAAATTGACGGCGTCTTATTTTTATTATACAATGAAGCACGCAATAAGCAAAGGGGGTCTGAATACTTTACAAAGTGACTGTAATGTTCTAAAAATAATCATACACACTGTAGTTTTTGTTCCTCCAACATTGCCACCTGCTAATATTGGCAATCACAAAGAAGAGAAAACATCCACTCACTGTGTAGTGGTTAACAAGGTAAAACAATGGAAAACGCATGATGTTCCTCTGTGATAAGACACCAATTTATAACATGGATATTATTCATATGTCAACATATTAAAATCATAGTTTTTGTAAAGAAAAATAAAGAAGAAACAGCTGGTTTTAAGCAGTTTGTGGTACTCCAGCTGATTTTTGGGAAGGAGAACCACATGTCTTTCAGCATGTGATTCTCCTTCCTATTAAACTGGTATTTTGATATAACTGTATATTGATACTGAAAGATTACTGTGATATTTTTCTTGCCTGGTCTTAGCACACAGACAACATTACATTACAACGTATGTGTTAAACATTCAAAGCATCCGACATACTTAGTTTTCTATTTTATCTCGACCCTGTAACAAAGAGGCATAACTTTTAACTGATGAATGCATCTCTTTAAAAAGGCATTAGACTGTGATTAATAGTGTGACAACCAAAGAAAAATCAGTAACTTATACAGTATATAATTACATTTGTACAAAAATGACATGCTACTGCCATGTTCTGAGGACTACTGCTAACATAAGCAACATGGAAAATCATCTGTCAAAAATGTATCAAAACTGAGCAGGTTACTGACCGACCATCAGCAAAACTATTTCAGCTCTTTTACACTGAAATTACAATCACTCTGGTTGGATTCTCCTGCTCCAGGCACTTACATTTACACCTTCTGGCTGGTACCCCTTTCCGGGCACAGTGAAACCTATGTCTCTTTCTGAGTACAGGCCTACAGAAGCTCAGAATAGCGATGGATGAGCTTTACAGGAAGCTTCGCGGCGGTGTGGACAGAGGACAGGTGTCAGTCGCTGAAAGATGATTCGCTGTCGGAGCTGGTGGCGGCGACATCTTGATCCTCTGCGCTCCTCGTTCCTCCGTCGGGCACGGGGGCATCCGGCGTGCTGTCATCAGCGGCGTAGGAAATGTTATTGGGTGCACAACAAATCCACATGAATGCAGAGAGATTTATATACGATTATCACTGGTAAAACACTTACTCGAGCAAGTTAGGATCCAAACCCTCCAACACCATTTTATTCCTTATAGCCATAACTGGAACTCCCTGTGATAGATAAAACATGCTTTAAAATAAAGAACCAAAAGAGCTTTTTTTTTCTTTTAATCCCGAGAGTCCATAAGCGGTTCTTCGTGATGACTTACCACTTGAACCATTTTCAGGTACCGGGCATAACGTGGGTCTTTGGCCACTGTCATGACATTCTCTGCAGCTGCTTCTGCTTTCTGTGTCGTTGCAGGGTCAGGTGCAGTCTGAGCGGGCTGCAACATGAAATATGCAAATTAATAAAGACAGTGTGGAGTAAAAGCTGTTTTAGAGAGCACGGAATATCAAATGCGGTGCCCTAGTTTCCATTTCTGAGTGGGCGGTACGCTTTTGTAGGTCTTAGACTTGTTTGTGAGACGTTTGTGATCTGATGCTGTAGTGTATAATACTGATCATCGATGAACTAGATCTGTGTTGCTTCTACTTTTGAGTAATGCTTGTGTTTGTCTTTGCTCTGTTGTATATTTCATTGAAGGAATTGTTCAGAAAGTAACACACCGCATCTGTTGTTTTATCTCTACATAAACAGAAGTGTAAAGTTGTGGTTTTACAGGGAGCTGATGTGCTAGAGCTACTTCTCTCTGGTCATGGTGACTTCCTTGAGACTCATCATCACCATGAGGTTGACAATTTAAGTACTAATTAAACAAACCAGACAGAACGTGTTAACTTGTGAGCTTTAGAGAGGCCTGTAGGTGCATGTTGCAGAGCTAGAATACCCTTGTTTTCGGTCTTTATGTTAAGCTAAGCTCACCACCCTAACTCACAGCTACGAGAATGATATAGATTTTCTGCTAACTCTATGCAAGAAAGCACATAAGCTATCACAAAACCTATTACTTTAAGCTTATAAGCACTGCATTAGCAACTGGCAAGGGTATATACATTAAATTTATACGCATGGCACTATGCTTGTTTGTGTGCATGTCAGTGTATTTACCTCTGGGGGAGGCAATGGCTCTGCTGGTGGACCATCGGTTTGGCTCTGATTAGCAGTAGTGGGTCCATTGGCTTGAGCAGGTTGCCGCTGACTGATCCCATCTATTGTGACATCCTCCAGCCCAGGAATTGAAGACAGCTGCTCGGAGCATTACAGTGTTTGTCATATGATCAGCGCATGGGTGTGTCAAAGTGTCATAAAGTGCGCAAATAAACGACTGGAGAGGCTCGACAACTCACCTTAGCTTCCAAAATGCACAGGGTTGTTTCAATCTGTTGTATGCGGAGAGATATGTTTGCAAGTTTCTGTGGGAAAGAAATTTGACAGTACAGGATGTGATCTACGTGTTGAAGAGGTCATTTGTGTGTGGACTAACCTGGTGAGCAGAAACTAGTCAAAAGATAAAAGTAAAGAGTGCAAGAAGATGTAACAGACCTCTTCACAAACGGTGGAAAAGCGGTTCAGGAAGCGGACTGTGTGCACGACAAACTGATTGAGATAGGCAACGACTCTTCTCTGTTGAATAGCAGGGACCTGAAGAAAACACAGACAGTTGCTTTAGGAAGGAAACCCAGTGTGTAATGTAATGAGGAAATTAAGTAATTAACATCATCGCACTGCAGAGGTTTCTCCACCCACTGCATTCATTTATTCACTTTTAACAAAGTTAAACTAACTTACTACCAGTCTAATATCAAGAGTCATTTAAGTGTAGAGAGAATAGAATAAATAGTTACGCCACAGTTGAGCCAATTTATACAATATTTTACAATGGCTTAATAGGTTTGTAAATTAGCTGAAGTCATCACCTACAATTATTGCTCCCAGAAACAGATTTAAACGCCCATAAAAGAGATGTTAAAGGTATTAATTTCACTTTAGGATATTTATAATTTATCTATGTAATATATATATAAATCCTTATTTTGTTACAATGTTTAGATTTGTTTGACCTAGATTGCTTACTGCCTTTGTGCTTATTTAATTTTACTCTCATTACCTTAGTGGCACCTAAAATGTACACTTTCAGTTCCAGTGAGGGTTTTAATGTAAGTAACATTATTCCACACATGCAGAACTAGTAACAACAGAAGTTAATTTAATCTGTTGTTAAGTTCAGTATCTTCTACTCACACACTACTGACCACTAGTTTACCCTATCAAATGTATTCATTTACAGCTATTGTGTCAAAAGTTTGACTCAACTCAAACACCTCTTTAATACTAGAGTGAATTTTGACTAAATACTGTGCAGCAAACTACACAGTTTAAGTGTTACAATACAGAAACCCAATGAAGAATCTGAAGGACACTGCATTTAAATGATGTTTGCTTACACTAAACTAACCTTACTATGACTCTCTGACTTTACAAACACAATGTCAGATGTGTTGCAGCACAATTTTTGGCCTGTTTTGTCTCATTTGCCCAAAAAGAAAGGTAGCTTAGCGTTGGTTAGCTCGGCCAGATACCAACCTTGGTGAGATCGACACCAGAACCCACAATCGGAAGCCCGTCCTCGTCCATGTCGGATTATTTATTTATTTTAAAACTTATTTCAGGTTATAAAGCAAGAATCGTCACTGCGAGGAAGACAGAAAGCGCTCAATTTAAAAAAATAAAAAATATATATATATATATCGGCTGTGAAGACGGTTCATGTGACTCTGGACTGCGTGATCGCGTCATTACGTCAGAGACGACGTGAGGGTATGAAGAGCCAATGGGAGTTGTGGTTTGGGATTTTATTTTGAAGTCTCCTTTGCTGTCTGTGAAATAACAACAACATCCGGTTTTTTCTTGTGGCCTTTTTGATAATGACATTATTTTATTAACACAAGATAAAACAGGTGAGGTTTTCTTTTTTCACAAACATAAGAGGGGTTTATTTAGTAAATTTGCTTTCATATTAATAATTTCATAAAGAATACGTTTTAATACAGAGAGATTAATCATATTTTAAAAAATGGGTTAAAACGTGTATTAAACTGATTAAAAGTCAGTGCTGCATAATGTTTTGGAGGGGATCTATTTGCTTTTGTAACATCCAGGATTTTGAGTATGTGTGTGTGTGTGTGTGTGTGTGTGTGTGTGTGTGTGTGTGTGTGTGTGTGTGTGTGTTTGACCACAGCAGAATTGATTAGGACAAATTCTCCTTATTATATTTGATCATTATTACTTCCCAGTCTTTAAAACTTTTTATTTTTTTCCTGCTAAATTGGTAAAGTAAAAACAAAACAAAAAGCTTAAAATGGGGTTGTTTTGTAAAAAAAAAAAAAAAAAAAAGTTTGTATAAAAATTTAGGTGCACTACACTTGTGTAAAATTGACTAATCAAAGAGCATGTCTAATATTTAAACTCTAAAGATATTTCGGGGGGGAGAAATTAAAGTAAAGCGCACTGACAGCCAAGTTGTGAGACCTTTATTTTGAAACAGGAAGCGCAGGAGACGAGTTGAGGAAACGGGCGCTTGCGTGCTAACAGCGCATGTTAGCCCCCAAAATAATCAAACATAATTTTATATTTATCTCTCAACGCTACATGAGACATATTGCACTAATGGAGGTTATTGGTTCAACAGAGAAAATAAACGGTATGTACATTAATAATCTGCTCCCGCTGTAATTAAAGGCAGGCTCTGTTTATGTCGGTCAGACAGTTAGCGGGACCCGTCTATTTAAAGGAATCGTTGCAATCACAAGCTGTCATCCTGGCGCCGTTGCGTTACGTGTTACATATTTAAGGTAATAATATAAAGCAGTTCAGTTAATTGTTCCGAGATCTAAAACACAGGCGCGAATATTTTTACCAGATTGTGCATTTAAAACTCACATTGCATAGGTTTGTCCAGCAATTATACTAGTTCATAGGCTTGTGGCAGGTTCTCTTGCAGCATTTTACACATAGGAAATAAAATATAGATGTATCAGCTTTGATTTAGCAATGTCCTATCTCTTTTATATTCGCATTGTGAAAAAAAAAAAGCTCATTTAAATATGTTTATATGGTTGAAGTTGAATGTCTGCAAGTGCTCTCTTCAGTACAAAAAGAAACACTGCTGCCCTCAACAGGCAATCTCTCACATTACACTGTGTATGTTTCAGACCCAAGCCTGTGTGTGTCCTCCCTTCGCCTCCTGGTGCCCCCACTGCAGCTCCTGTCTGCTGCTATGTGGCAGCTGGCGAAGCAGAAAGATGTGATGAATTACGAGAGGCTTCAGGAGTTTGTGTTCATGGTGACCGAGGCCGTCCCTGGACTGATCAACCACAGGCAGAGAGCCCAGCTTATTCTGGGTCTCCGAGCGAGGGTGAGCAGAGGTTGTGCATCACACCACATTCATAAATGTGCACTTTAATACTTTAAAGTAACAATTTGTTGATATTGCAGTTGATTCTGGAGCTTTGCAAAGGCTCAGCTCGGGGTTCGGTTGATCCTCAGGCGATCCAGAGCCATTTGGATAGACTCCCAATAACCTCTGCAAACACAGACGTAAGTACAGTGAAGGAATGACCTTTTTGTTTAACAGCAAATAACGGTAATCCTTAAATGACATGAACTCCTATCTGCGGCAGTACAGGGATGCAGAGGTGAAAACAACAGAATCCACGTTCATTGCACTTGTTCAGAGCCTGCTGAAAGATCCAGTTGAGAGAGCATATTTCTTCCAGGTCAGAAAGATTTTAATTCCTGAGCTTGAGAATACTCTAAAGAAGTCCTGTAGTAAACTGAAATTGATCTCTTACAGGAGGTGTTTCCGGTGGAATATGGGTCCCAATATGATGCCGCTCTGCATGTGTTACTATGGGAGCTGATCTCAAAACTGGAAAAGCTGCTTCCAGTACCAGACTTAAAACAGGTATTGATGCAGTCCGTCCAGATGTTTTTACATCTGCAAAAACACGTGACATTTACCGCAACTGCTCTGCTCTGCTGACTACAGACTGCAGCGTGGCTCGGCTCTGCTCCTTCTGTGCTGGAGGAATGTGTTCGCTCATCACCTGAAGAGTTGAGTTTAATCTTCGAGCACTACAAAAGTTCAGGACTACTGAAAATGCCATGTGAGTAGAGTTGAAATTAAATGCAGGCAAGTTATTTTAAGTTAATTATCAAGCATAAATGCCAAATATGATCTGGTTTTAGCTTCTACTTTAGCGATCTATTGCTTTTCTCTTTGTTATATCATTAGAAATTGGTTAAAAAAAAACAGATATTGTCAGCAAATAGGAGTAAATTTGTTGTTTGTAGGGAAATGTGTTTACAATTTAGCTTGCTTGGCACTTTAAGCTGGTTGCTGTCGCTTTATTTGTGGAATAAAAAAGTCGATAACACAGGTAGTCTTTAGTTACAACACTACATGTAAGTGCCTTTAACATGTTTCTGGAAAAGTGCCATAAACGTATACTTTTGCAACCAGTGACTCCTTGTCCTCTCTTTTATAGATGGCCCTTCATCCACCATTGGTAGCTGCATCATGTCTGCTCTATCCATTCCTCCCTCGCAAAAGGCAAACGTCTCCGTCGGACTAGAATCCCTCCACAACTACGCTAACGTCCTGAACCCTGTCACTTTTGTTGGAACGGACCAGTACAGCGTCGTGGCCGTCTACACCGAAATGGAAGTCGGAGTGTCTGAAGTAGACGAAGAAATCATCGAGTCAGCTGAAGTGCAAGTTCAAACAGATTTCTATGAAGAAGAGATCGTGGCTGTAAGCGCAGACACTGCGGGTGTTGAGGAGGCTACGAGCTTGAGGGGAGAAGAAACAAGTGAAACTGTGGATGTTGCTAAAGCTCTGGAGACTCTGACGAAAACCTTTGCACTAAGGAAAGAGAGCCTTGCTCAAGATGTACTGGCAGGAAAGAGTAATGATTCATCGCTCGATGATGAGCTTGGGTCAGGAAACGCACCAGATGAAGGACATGAAACAAGTGACCAAACTGACGAGAAAAGAGAAAACATTGTGGAAGAGGTGATGGAGGATTTCCAACCTGGAGACAAAGAGAGCAATATGGACTCTCGTACAGACTTTAAGGATAACCATGAATCCGTCTCTGCTCACGAAGAACTGGCGGATGTCTCCGGTGAAGATCTACCGTCTGAAACACAACGGTCTCCCCGTTCGCCTAACGTGCGCCGATCCACTCGGCTACAAATTAAAACTTCACCCAGCTGGCAGGAGACGTGTAAAGTCAAGACGTCGTCCAGAGAAATGAGTGAAGAACCAAAAATGTACAAAAGCCTTTTATACTGTAATATCATTGTATTTATTCCTCTTTCAAAGAGTTCAAGTTTCTTTTTTACTTAATTTAAGGAATAGTTCAGATGACTTTGACTTTGACTTTGAAAGAATAGGGAATATAATTAGAGGACAAGATCAGTACCACTCTAACGCTAACTAAATTAAGTTACTATATTAAGCTGGCTAACTAAGCTTAACATAAAGAACAGAAACTTGGAAATTAGTGAGCATTATAGGTGCTGGTTGGCGGATTTTATAAGCTTTACACCGAGCCAGGCTAGTTTTTTTTTCTGTGTTTTCAGTCTTTGTGCTAAGCTAAGCTAACTGTCTGCTGACTCTTGAATGTCAAACTATTTGTTTTCTAGTTTTTAACTTTCTAATAATAGTATTTTAACCAAATATCTATCGCTTCCACAGACATTGCAAAGATAAAGTCCCCTACAATTCAATTAATTTCCTAGAATTTGTTGTAACATTTTATAAACTGTTTCCCCAAAAATGTAAAAAAAATCTCACCAACAGCATTTTTATTTCCCCAGCAGCAGGGCTGATGTATCAGTTGCCCCCTCTGTTATAGCCATCAAAGGAATCGACAAAGGTAATATTTTAACGTGAAGAAACATCTTTTCAAAAATAAAATCCACACATTTTACTCACACCTGTCTCTTTTTCTATTTGCAGGTGATTCGGACGAGATGACGTCGATCATCTTCACCTGCTCGCGGTGTCCCTTCCACAACTCGGACGAAAACAGTCCTCCGCACTTCCACATGCAGAGTGTCCGCACTGAGCTGTACAGGACTCTCTCAGGGGCCAAATTTACACCGTCTCCTTCCAGCACAGATGAAATCTTTACATCCATTAAACTTTTCCCCAAAGGACACGCAGAGCAGAGTAAAGCAGAACCACCTGAGAATCAAAGCAAAGCAAATGTGTCTCAGTCCCCAAACAAAAAGAAGGCACTCACGTGTGAAACATGCGGTAAGACATTCACCCGGACGTCAGACGTCAGGAGACACCAGCTCACTCACACAGGCGAGAGACCATTCCACTGCTCTCAGTGTGACCGAACCTTCCAGCACTCGTGGGATCTGGCCAAACACGAGAGTAAACATCACGGCGTGGCCATTTCTTTCTCCTGCCAGCTGTGCAGGAGCTCCTTCGCTAACCTCCGCGCACTGACCGTCCACCATAAGAAGTCTCACTCGCACCAGAGCCAGCTTCCTCAAATCTGCTCCATCTGCAGCCAGAGCTTCCCCACTTCCTCCGACCTGCTCGAGCACCGGAAGTCTCACGTCACCAGTAAGCGCTACATCTGTCAGAAGTGCGGTGAAGGCTTCGACTCCCTGCTCGCACGCTCCCAGCACCGGCAGATGCATCAAGTGAAGCGTCAATTTAAGTGTCCACATTGCGAGAAGACGTACACTCGGAGATCTGATGTAAAGAGGCATCTGTCGACCCACACTGGGGAGCGACCTTACCAGTGTGACCAGTGCAGCAAGCGCTTCTCGCTCCGTTTTATGCTCATGAAACACCTCCGTGTTCACACAGGCGAGCGGCCTTTCCAGTGCTCCCACTGCCCCAAGAGGTTCACCCTGGTGTCAGTGCTCGCCAGACACGAGAGGATGCACACCGGGGAGAAACCGTTCCTCTGCTCTCAGTGCGGGAAGGGCTTTTTGTCGCAGGGAGAGCTTTCAAAACATCACAGGTCACATGTGGACGACAGGCCCTACTCGTGCCCTCAGTGTGACAAACGTTTCAAGAGCAAGAAAACCCAGCAGGAACACATCGTCTCCCACACCGGCGCCCGCCCGTACCCCTGCACCTACTGCGGGAAGGGCTTCACCAAACCATACGCACTGACCAGGCACAATCTCATTCACACAGGAGAGAGGCCGTTCCCCTGTGGACACTGTGAGAAGTCGTTCCTCACCCTCAGCGAGGCTCAGCTGCACCAGCGTATTCACACGGGAGAGAGGCCGTATCCCTGCAACATCTGCGAGCTCAAGTTCAAGAGCTCGTCGGAGCTGGCGCGACACAAGCGCAGCCATTCGGGGTTGAAGCCTCTGAAGCCGTACTGCGAGCAGTGCATGAAGGCGTTCACATCCAAGGCCAAGCTCAAAAAGCACATGGAGACACACAGGGCGGAGGGAGAAGCAGCACAGTCTGTGGACACACCTGAGGAATCAAATAATGAAACGAATAACTGAGACAATTTAGTTGAAATTGTAAAAAAAGAGTATATTGTTTCAGGATGCTTGAGTTTAGTTATTTCGCTTTATCAAATTTAACAAGTTCTGGTTTGGAGAGAATATATTTAATGCAGATCAGGAAAATAATGTGTGTCCACAACTAGGACCATGCTGACTTTACTATCAAGTGTTTGGCACTGTTGCATACTTCAACTTTTTGAGTAAATGAAACTGAAAACAAGATTTTTAAACTTGTTAAACACAAATCATTTTGACATTATCAGTGTTTTATACGTGTAGCTTCACCCTCTCGTCTCCCCTTTGCTTTGAAGTTTGCAACAGGGAAGTCACAATCATGTTTAAATCATTTGGACATCACAGGTTTACAAAATTACTCATTAAATACATTTTTTCACTCTATTTACCGTCTGTTTCTTTGACTGGGATATTGTGCATCAGTGGGGCGCATACACAGTTTCAGGTTTAAAACAAAACATAATATATAATATACAAAATAAAAAAGAGGAAAGGTAAAAAGAAGAGGGGGGCAACACTTTATTAATATGTAAAAAATAAATTATTATTATTAAGCTCCAGATATACTGTCATATTCTGCTTTTAACTTCAAAAACGCCCTAAGTGTCCTGACTTAATGGCTGTATAATTGAGAATGTGGATATTGTTTAGTTGTACAGTCTACAGTGCACTGTGGTAGGGCATAGGTTCCAGGAAATAACACTGAAACCTGTAAAATATAATCCAATGGCATCAATAAATGCTACCTTTATGAAGTGTATACTTCATGTTTGCTGAGGTCATTGTTTCAATGGTGTTGGATTGCATTATGCTTTAGGGCAACCGCAAGTCACCTGACCGAGGGGGCCACTGGATCCTTCAGCGCCACCATGAGGTTAACAGTCTAGTTTTTTAAATTTAATAAGTAGTGGCTTTATTGTCATGAAATTTGGTGTCGATGAGACGTTCAGGAACCCCTCAGGAGGAAATACAATAACATTGGTAGCTCATTTTCCTCCAGCTCCAACATCAGGTAAGAAATGTTTGTCCAATAGTTTGGTTTAAGACTAAATATCAACCTTTACTTTATGTTGATCAGCAAATGCTCCCATGCTCAATTAAGATTAGCACGTTATCATGCTGGTGTTAGCATTTGGCTCAAAGCACAACTGTGTTTAAGTGCAGCTTCACCGAGCTGGTAGCATTAAACTCTTGTTTTTCCCCTTTCAGGCCTGTAGAAATTAATCACATGTAACAGTTTAAGAAGTAAGAACTACTTTTTTTTTGCTTACAACACATACACAAATGTGACCTGTAACAAAGGGTTGCATGTAGAAATATTTGTTTTAAGGGTCACAAACCAGAAAGGTTGGGAAACACACTCTTTTTTAGGTATTCCCTGCAGCCACAAAACTGGAGGAATGGTTTCCCCTACACCTCTTCTCCTCCCGGCTGTATTTTCAAGGAGCTGTATTGGAGGTGCCTTTGAAAATCTCATCCAGCGTGTGTCAGGTGATGTATTTACTTCATATCTGTCTAGAGTGCACATAAAACCCAATGAGCTGATGGTTATAGAGCAAAGATTAATTATAAACATCATAAACATAATCTCATTTCCTCTACAGACTTCCAGCTGTCTTCTTCCTGCATCACTGTGGTGTTCTTCATATCCTGGAGAACAAGATGTTGTAGTAAGTCTTGTAAGTAACGTGGCAAAAGACTTCAAAACATCAGCTGTTAAGGTCAGTTTTTCTACTATTAAACTATTATCTGGAGCCCAAATAGACAAAATGTGGGATCTTAGGATACACCACATTGCAGTTCTTCATCCTCCTCCCCAGGCAATCTATTTGGGTATTCCCCTCTTTGCCATTGTGCCACTATTGTGCTCATCCGTATAAAAAAATAGCCATTTGAATGTGTTTAATTAACTGAGAGGCTTTAATTAGCTCTGATCCGCAGAGGGTTGCGGAGAGAAGCAGATGCAGAGAAGGAAACACCAGGATAAAACTGGCTGCATTGTTTAACAGGGGACCAACCAAGTACCATTATAGTGCAGCCTAAATTGGGTTTTCCGGTGGTTTGAAATTGGTTATCTATTTTTAGCATGGGATATGTTTCCAAATGTGTTTTAAATTGTTAGTGGGGGAAAAAAAGAACATTTTTAGATGAGTCCGTCCATAATATAGTAACGTGTGTTAGCATAATGTAAAACCATTTCTCTGCCACTTTGCATTTTGTGTAATAATACGATGATTAGAATGTATTTTTGATAGAAAATGTGGCCAAAATCTAAACAAAGTGAACATCATCATCTATTGGTAGTCGATGAAAAAACACTCTTTTCTTTTTTCGTATTCGTAAGTATTATGTCTTAGTAATCAATAATTAATAGTTTAGATTTAGTGTGCAGTCAAGATTTACGAAGACCTCAGGATGCAATTTTATTTACTACATAAGTTTTGTTTTCATGTATTTATAATTTAAAAAGATGTTTCAGAATCAGAATCACTTTTATCGGCCAGGTTTGTGTGCACATACACAGAATTTGACTCCGGTTTTACGTTGCTCTCAATGTACGAACACAGATTAACAGTATAGATAAACAAGTTCAACAAAAAAAAGACACAGACGTATATGTACAGTTATACATATTTATACACAAACATTGGTAGACAGTAGACAACAGTGCAAAGGATGCTGAAATAAATATTTTACATGCAGGTATCTTAATGTACATTAGGGTAGGTGGATATATGTTTCCATTTAATTGACTTTTATTTATTTAATTTACACAGCACACATCAAAATCACTTATTTTCTCATCTAATTTAAGTGTTATAATCACTGGCTTTAGTCATGATCTTGACTGATATTCTTTCACAAAGAATATGTTGGCTACTAGCTTGTATTTACATCATAAAACTGTTTTTAAATTTTACAAAGACATCACATGCACTGTATAGACAGTAGTGGGTGTTTTTCCCGAGTTCTTTAATTCCTCTATAATAAAACTCAAAGGGATGTCTCCTCCACACCGAAAGAGGGTGTGCATGGGTGGATTTCCGGTCCTCCCCACTGCAATCACCTCTTGCCTTGACCAGAGCGAAGGGGCAGCAGCGAGCGAGCAGATATCGGGATGGGACTGATCAGTGGAGGAATTTGAAGAGCTGGTGATCATGCAGGTGGAAAGAATGCCCGAAATAAACAAATAAATAGGGCGGAAACAAGGGGGCTGTGGATGTAGATAACAGCAAGACGCGACACCCATCAGTGTGATTTACAGTCCAGTTGGCGTTGGGTGGGTGGTGGCGGATTAATAACCAGTCATAAAGAAGACGGGGATTGTGTGTTGCAGGAGGACGAGAGTGAAGGCACTGATAGAGGAAGGAAGAGAGAGGAGGAGTGTGTAAAAGAGAGAGAGAGGAGTACATAAAGCCGGAGCCAGGATCATGAGCTTTGCACTGCCTTACGGCTCGCTGTCAGCTCGGCCGAGTCCCAGCAGACGAGCTCTGGACTGGGAACACGAGCGGCTGGCTGTGCGACGACTTTCCTCTCCGCGGGGTCTCGACCTGCTCACTCCACCTCCTCTCCCTCGTCGAACCTCTGCGATCCCTGGCTACCTGCTGTCACCCTACCAAGAGCAGGAAGAGCAGCTCCAACAGCAGCAGCAGCGACTATCCTTGTCTGTGGGCTCAGAGGCCTCCCTGGCGCCCCCTGCACCTCCACCTGTGGGCGCTGCCCCACCCTGCTGCCGCCCAGTGGGAGTCATGCACCTCCTGCGCTTGGGTCTCCTGGCTTTCAGCTGCCTCTTCTGGGCAGCCGGCTTAGCCATCCTATCTCTTGGTGTGTGGGCACAGATTTCACTGGCAGACTACATGCTGCTGTCTGCTAACCGCTACCCCAACGCCCCACTCATCCTTCTGTCCACAGGTGCTGCAGTCACCGCGTGGGGCTTCCTGGGTTGTCTGGGAGTAGCTGCAAACCTGCCCTGCGTGCTTAGGGCTTACGGGTTCTTCCAACTTGCAGCACTGATAGCCGGTTTGGCAGCCGGACTCTCAGGTCTCTTCTATCGTGAAGACATTGCCGGAGGATTTCGCAGCGGCTTACAGCGAGCGGTGGCCGGCTACACCGAGGATGAAGGCCGTGCTGATGCATTAGACAGCCTGCAAAGGGCCCTGGAGTGTTGTGGAGCTGAGGGTTGGCGTGACTGGCTCACTTCGGACTGGGCTATCCAGCATATGACCTTCCTGCCCACCGAGAACGGCACCTCTGTGTCGCTGCCGGACAGTTGCTGCGTGAGGCGCAAGGGCTGCAAGAATCGACCTCTCCTGTCAGATGATAGTGAAGAAGTAGTGGCTGCAGGAATACATCCACACGGCTGCTTCCGCAAAGTCTTCAGTTTGGTCAACGACAACGTCTTTCACATTGCCGCCACTGTGTTAGGATTGGCCTTCACTCAGATCGGAGGCATTGCCTTGGCTTGTCTGCTGGCCAACAAACTGGCACCGAGACAACGTCGACGTGTGGTGGCACATTAATGGTTACACCAAGGATTGACCAATTTGTAGATAATTAGGATTGGGAACGGACTATGCCCTTAAAGAGTAATAGAGTTACAAAGTGGGGGGAGTTGCTTCTGGTACCATTGACCAGGCTTCTAAAAGTTTAAGTCACGTTAACTTTCTGCATAAACATTGTCAGATGGGGCCTTCCGAGCCATAAAAACTCTCCCAGTTAAAAAAAAATCTGTAAATGCTTTATGAAATATCTGGTTCTTTGGCAAAACAGTCAAAGGTACATGAAAACATTAGGAGAAATCAACTACAACTCCTGTTGAGCATTTTGGTAAGAAACATTGAATGATAGTAAGCTGAAGCTGCTTTAGCTTGCTGTTATTCAATGTTGTAGAAACCTGATTCTGATAAAACATTCATATTATGACGTTGTAAAAATCTAAATACTTTACGTTTCTGGGTAAATTTGGAAGAATTGAGAGACTACCATTTGGTGTTTAGATCCCAATTGCGAACGAACAAACTCCTTTGTTGGGTTAAGAGTTAGAGCTAGCACTCTAACCCTTGTCTATACTGAAGAACATTGAGGATATCATTAAAAGAAAATGGGAATTAGTCAAAACTCCTCACACTTTGGACTCTTTTACACTCATTGTTGGCCTGTCTTCTGCACAATTTTGAAAAATGCTTCATCTCTTCATTAAATACCTGCAAAGGGTATCAAAGTCTCAAATTTGGGTGGGACCAGGTTGGCCAGCAGACTGTAAATCTCAAAAACTGATTGTGTGTGTTGTATGTTTAAATATTGGCATGGATTCATATGCTGCATTATATAAAAGTGTATATATAAAAATTACATATTAAAAACAAACGTGTAGGGTTAAACTATTCTTACTTTGGTGACCTTCTTTAGTACATCTCACCACTGAATGCACAGGAATGTCCACCAGCAGTTTTCCACTTCAGATGATTTAGTCTGGCTGTGTTCAACAGATGTTCGTATCTACATCATTTAGTCTTCCCATCACAAAGACCACACTGTGCTAGAATGGTGCTTTCAAAAAGAGCTTAATAACCTATTGCTGTCTGGTATTTCGTGCCGTCTATACATCTGACAGGCCGTAGTAATTTCCACTGTGTTGAGGTGCTTTGGTAAAAATGACTGCTCTGAAAAGGTTTCTTTCACATGTTGCTACCGTTGTATCTCTTGAAGCACAAAATGGTTTTAAATAACTGAATATTGTGAACAACACTTTTGGAACATGACTTCTAAAATGCTCACGGACATTAGCACGACCCAGATGTTGTGCATCCCACTGCTAGCATGAAACAGTGAGTCTGATTAGAATTTCTCTTCTTAAACATCAAATGTAAGTTCAATTAAATAAATAGTTCTCTTTATTTGCTGTCTTGTAGAAAGTTAGATGAGGTGTCCAATATCATTCTCACGTCTGTAGGCTAAATATGAAGCTAATACCAGCAGCCGGTTAACTAACACACAAACTGAAGGCGCCGAAATAGTCCAAAAAATGTTCCATTGGACCAAAAGTCCATTTGTAGCACTGCCTGTTATCCTGAAGATGAACGCCCATTGCTCCAATAATACAAACCTGGTATAAGTTGCGTAACATACGTAGTTTAACTGACGTATGTACTTATTTTAACCCAAATTGGGATCTTTTCCTGAACTTCACCAAGTAGTTATGTTGCATAAACCCAATCAATCCGCCACTTTCACAACATTACCCACATGTTTATTATTGTTACCATGACGATGAAGGTCATCTGACGTTTGCACGTCTAAATCCTCAAAGATATTAAGGACAAAAAACTCCAGGGAGAGTGTGTATCCTCAGAAAAACTTTTGTTTTTAGGATAACGGGCGGTTGGACAAATGGACTTCCGGTCTTTTTCCAAATGGGGCTATCAGAGCGTCCACAGCACTACAGGACACACCTGCTAAATGATACGCCCTTACAACATTCACAGTTTGGTTTGGACACTGAAACTATTTGGTTATGTTAAGGCACAAAAATGTCATAGTTTGGGGTTTTTCGGGGCATTTTGGATAATAATGGCCCATCGGTACAATGGGCAGAAGGCAGAGGGAAACAGCCTCGCTCGTTGATACACTCTCGTTTAATGTGTAGAAGAAAATAACTAATAAATAAACAAGATAAAACCTGTTAATTAGTGATCTTTAGAGGTGCTGGCAGGTGAGCTTTGTTACCATTAGACAGAGCTAACAACAGCTAACTGTTTCCCGGCTGTAACTTCATATTTAGCCAGGGTTGCCAACTCGACACTCCTTTTCAGGCTCTGTCTCACACTAAACTAATAAATATATATTATATATATATATGTATTATTATTGTCAGGATATTTGTTATTGTGTATATTATTGTTTGGGTGTTTATTGTGTTTTGTTCCTCAAACAATGTGAAGGGTTAGATCACCCTGATTTATTATACAGACTCAGGAGTGGGATCAATCGTCACATCTAACTCTCGGCTATATTTCCCAAAAATATTCCTTTGATGAATATAGGTGTTTTATTCTGATATGAACTTGTTATTACACGTGTTTTAAGATCACTGTATGCACTCCATCCACCCACTTTCCAGCCTCCACATCATACATCCCTCCTTTCCTATTTAGGATTTTCCTTTTTATTGCTCTTGTAATTGCAATGTATGATATATATATCCCACATTCATTAACGTATAATGTATTCTAACAATCACCAACAGTGCGATCAAGCATGACTGAAACTGTAAACTATATCTGTGAACAATAAACAAAAAATCTTTGCCTCATTACAGGATATAATATTGATTGGGAATGGGAATGTCAAGGTCTACTGTCCTTGAATATATTAAATATATAAATGGCAACAGCATTCTTGTAATGTAATGTTGATGTAGGCTAGTATGTACACAACAAAACACCATACAGTACAGCATTTGGGAAAGGTGCATCTGAAGTATGTAATGTCTAATAAACATCTTTCAGGGCACTTTTTGGGGATTGAATGTGTTTTTTTTTTTCTTCTTCTTCCAGGTGGAAATAATAATAATATATTCCATATCCTTACAGGTGGCAGGTTCAACCTCCTGTCTGCTTTTAAAGACGTTTAGAAACAGCTCTAGGTCTTTATTTTATGAGAAAAGCCATGCTGGGAATGTGCCAGAGTGGTAAATTCTCAGCGCTAGGAGTGGTCGATCCCCACTAGGACCTCTGGCCGAGCAATTCTGAATTATGGCTAACTGAACGACATCTCATTTCCACCACCTGAGACAACGGTGATTAGATCTGACCTTGAAAGGGGAGACAGCAGATACGGACGCACTGCCGAGCGTGATTAAACACAACAGCCTGACCCAGCATTGATTAGTTAATAGCAAAAAAAGAAAAATCTTCTGCTCAAATTGGGTAATATGAAGAAGATTTCCATCACAAAGTTAACCTTTAAGTCTACATATATCAACGTTTAGTGACAGAGAGGCTTTGGGCTGTGGCCTCTAAACAATCACCATTTTCATGACCTAATTTATGGTATTGATTAACCTACATTATGCTCCCAATAAGGCTTGCGGATGCTTTCTGTCTGATTACACTGTCCTTGTTTAACCTATTTTGCCTGAGGTTGCTACATCCCCACTAGCAGTTTCATCACACAGAACATGAGCTGAGAGATGTTCGAGCAACACCTTAAGTCAGAGAAACCACAAGGGGTATTTGGCTCGTGATACCTTTGAGAACTACTTTGGGTTGGGGCGATTTAATGTTCACTATTTATGATTTGTCGTCTACCAAAACAAATGCTCACCAGAAGGGACACAAAATGGCTGCAGAGTGGTGCAAATTATAGTCACAATCACATCTCCATGGCCTCAAAATGCTTCTTAAAGATGAGGAAGTGGTGAAGATAACATATAATAACTTGATTAGGAATATCAAGCATCACAACATTGATTAATGCGAGGTTTATACATGTATATTTACTCTACATGACAATGTATTTTTGGGTTACAGCTTGGAAAACACGCTTGGAAATCATGAAATGAGTTCCCCTTAAACAATTATTTGCATGGAAGCATGAAAGATTACAAAAACAGGATTAAGGACTGTCTGACCACTGAATACTGAACGCAGTGTCCTCTTACTGATACTGCAAACTCATGGTTGAATGCGATTTCCTGTTTGCTGTAAGCCTGTTGTTTGTTTTGCTAATGTGAAATTGTTTGTCTTAATGTTTTACTGTTTAGTATATCCCAAACTTTATGCTGCTGTCTTGGGTGTAGGACGCCCTTGTGAAAGAGATTTTGAATATTAATGGGAATATTCCTGGTAAAATAAAGGTTAAATAAAAAATAAAAATAAAAGGTTCCCCAGTTTGAATGTAGATTAATTCAAAATCCTCAAATACATAATAAATCTCTTAATAATAATGTAGCATGTCACAGTTGCAGGTTACTTGCTTAGACTACAGTTGTTTGAACGTGTAAAAGAAATTGGCTTTAAGTAGTTTAAACCACCTTGGAGTCCCTTAACTTTTCAGATTGTGAAGCTGCTTAAATAAATATGGCTTTAGGCTTTTTATACAAATGGGTGTGTCTTTAAATCCTGTGTCCTGAATCTGATAACACGGATCCCTCTTATTTGGTTTTTGGCTGGCAGCACTTGAGGAATTTAAACATCCACCCTGTACTGTCTGGATCCATGTCTCAGACCTTGGAAATGTAGCTCGGATATGTCTACATTTCCCCTGTGAGTTTGAATATATATATATAAACATGCTGTTGAGCGAATGGCAAGAAATTCTACTAGATATAGACTATTGGAAAGTATGTGAACAGGACCTGTAGTTTGACATTTCTAAAATCATTTTTAAAAAAATGTATTGTGGAGGACAGTGTAGGCTTTTATCTCTACTCTCCGCCTCTTGAAGTCTGCCCTACATCTGACTCCTTTTGGTCCTTTGCAGTTTGCACAGCAGCCTGTGCTCTGCCCCACATTTTATTTTGGCGATTCTCACCACCACCGCTCCGTCGCTGCGTAAAAGCCGCCGCGCTGC